CCTTTCTGGGAGGAAGACTAGTCTATATTCTTAAAACTCTGAGTTGCTCTACTGTGTCACTGAAGACCATTAAGCATCTGAGATAATCTGTTTCTAAAGCAACAATGTTTCAGCAGAAATCAATATGATATACTAGGAGATTTTTGTTAAAAGTGGAGGGGTCTTTTTAAGTGGCTTATGCAATCAGAGCCTACAATGAATTTAAAGAAAACTTCAGAGCATATGGCATTCTGATATCTTCAAAGGGTGGTTTGATGGGACCAGCAGTGAACATGAAGAGGAGGTATGATTTAAAAGAAAGCTGTTGGAGTACTGGGTTGCAAATAAAATCTAAGAAGGCACTTTGCAATTCAGTTTTCTGTTTCTTTTTTTTTTTTTTTCTCCTGGTGTTTTATTGCTGCCTTGCACTCCCAAACACTATAAATGTTCCTTGCCAGTTTTACATTCTAAAATTCTAACTTGGTCGTGTTCTCTGCAAGAATGTGACACTCACTTCTCCGGGCGTACTGGAAAGAAGGAATGCCACAGCTTAGCTAAAGAAGGGGATGGAAAGGTGGTCTATGTCTTTGGTAATGTGTCACCTACTCTCATTTTTATCCATAACCTCATCCCCGAATGGCAGCATTTGGATAAAATGACCTTCCGAATCCTTCCAGTCCTAGAAGTCTGCGACCCTCCAGGGATTTCCACCCACCAAATCCATGTCGGTGTCCCATGGTTGATGAGAGCATTCCACTCCTGCAGGGACACAGACTGAAAGAGGAACGGTGTTTTTCAGGGCTTTGGTGCTTTTCAGGGCTCACACCTCAGAGCCATCAGCACAGACCCAGGTCAGGAGGGCCTGCTTCTGCCAAGGTGCGCTGGGAAGGCAGGAGGCAGAGCGGGAGTCCTGGCAGAAAAGGGTTCTTGAGACCTGGGGTCACAGTGCCGCCCTAGTTTGGAAGCTATTAAGCCCTGGGGTTTCAGTGTGAGGTCTGAGGACCAGCAACAAAGGCATCACCTGATGACGATTTTGTTAGAGACTCTCAGGCCCCGCTCCAGACCTGCAAGATCAGAGTCTGCCTATTAAGGAGAGTGCCAGGTGATTCCTGTGCTCTTAGAAGTTTGGGAATCCTTTGGTTAAGCATGGCTGAGCGCTCCCACTTTGCCTCTCAGCGTGGCAATGGCCAGGCCCCGAGTTAGGCGAGTGTCTGCTGTCCCACGGCAGGAGGGGAGACCCGCGGAGAGGCGGGCGCGGTGCCCCCGGCAGCCTGGCTGGGGCCGGGGCAGCGAGGCCCCGGGAGCTGGCGGAGCCGATGCTCCCCACGCCCCGCCCACGGCCCCAGCCAGGCCCAATGAGCGGCGCGAGCCGAGGAAAGCCCGCCGCCGGCACCGCCCGCGCTCCCCTGCCGCCCGCGGTCTCCTGCCGCCCGCGGTCTCCTCCCGCGAGCGCGACGCCAGCCCCGAGGCGCCCAGTCCGCTCCCCGCCATGGGGCGCCGGGCGCTCCTTCTGCTCCTGCCGCGGGTGCTGGCCGCGCTCGGCGGCATCGCGGGCTCCGGGACCGGTGAGTGGGGCCGCGGGCGGGGCGCCCTGGAAGGGACTGCAGCCCGCTTCGCAGGGTACAGGGGTGGCGGGCTGGGGGGCGCTGCAAGGGGCGGGAGGAGAGCTTGGGGCACCCTGGCTGGCGTGCGCGACGCCCCCCACCCCCCGTTCTGCAGTGACTTTCCACAGAGGAGGGTGACGTCGGGCCTTCGGGGGGGGGGGGGCGCCAGATGAGTCGCGTGGTCCCCTGCTTCTCTGCCCTTGACTCCTTCCTATTCTGCCCAGTGGGTGGAAGGGAAGGTGGGCTCCGCGGACATCCTCGGTGTCTTTCCTTCATCCTTCCCCAAGCGTGTGGGAGAGAGCTCTGCACACCTGAGTGCAGGGCGCACCCTCTTCCTTCCCCCAACGTCCTGGTCTAGTGGGGTCCGCTTTCTAGCCCTAGTCTCCGAGGGGACCCGCAGCTCAGGGTTCACCAGGCAGCAGATTTAGCCTGGGTGGAGGCCCCGGCCTCGGGAAGACATAACCTCACTCCAGAAACAGCACGGGGAAATGGGGCTTGGGTCTGAGGTGCAGTTCTGTGGCACTTGTTGATATACCACTCAGGTTTAGGCAGACCCCAGGGCAGAGGAGAGCTGAGTCCATGCCCCAGGGTGACTGAGACACCCCCAGTTCCCAAGTGGTGGGTGGCCGGTTGGTGGCTTAGCCATGTCTAGGAGGTGCCTAGCATTTGTCAAAGCATCTGGCCTGCGGATCTCTCCCGACAGGTGCTCCTCAATGGCCCTCATAGATTGAGGGCTGGTTTTAAATCATTTTAGCTTATGCAGACTCTTGGTCAAGCGGATGTTAACTAATTTGGAAGAGGTGCCACTTAACTGAGTTGTGTGTCTTCCAGGAGGGGTTCTAACCCACAGGATTTTTTGCCTCACCTGGTGGGGCATCTCTGCAGTGCTGAGAAGCCCTTGCTCTGTGTGGTCTTTTTGCATCACTACTGACGCATTTTTTACTAAGCAGTGGTTACCGCAGCCTTATGGCATGCAGCCCTCTTTAGGATGTCTGTTCTAGAATATAGCATGTGATCACCCTACTTGGCATATTAACAGACTATGAGAAAGCTACCCTATACTTAACATATAAGTAAGTATGTTAAAATATATCTGATTTATTCACAGGAAGCATCTACATAAGTGAGAAGTAATGTTTTGAGACCCCTCTGCAGATGTGTAGAATCTATATGCACACTTGGTCTCCAGACTGAGAATCACCAGGGCAAAATGTTGTTCCAGGTGTGACTCACCTGCAAGTGTGAGTCTTTGAGGGCTGACTGGAGCCCTAATTGGGATCCTTCTGGAAGGACCTTCCAGAAGTGGTAGCAAAAGAGTTAACACTTTATGAAGATTTATATGGTGGGTATACTGCGCGCCAAGTGGCTTTGTGGCCATTTAATCTATGAATCTTTCTCTTCTGATCACTTATTTACTAGTCTCATTTTATAGACAAAAAACAGATCCAGAGAGAGGAAGTAACTCTCCCAAGGTCATATTGTTAGTAAGTGATCTCACTAAAATGCCAATATCACCTGCTCTCAATGGTTTTGGTCAAGCTAAGTGAGATTGCTTGCATGGCATCTGAGTAGATGGCAGAGTTGTTAGCTACCCATTAGTAACCAATACTTTCTGAATATTTTATTTAAAATGTTTTTTATAAGTCAGCCTTAAAACAAAATCAAACCTTGAGTAGCTAAGCTAAAAGTACTATCTTAGAGGGATACAAGTAAGACTAAGAAATGGTCGCTTACCAAAGAAGGTGTGGTCTACACAATGGCCTTCCATTGTCAATTTCCATTACACAACCTTGCGTACCACTTTCCATTCCATGTACAAATTGTTCCTGGGAGTAGGACCATGGAGGGGGGGTTCTTCACTGCATCTTGCAGAGACTTCTAGTACAGGCCATGTGGTTTATCTTTTCTAGGAACTAAAGATTGGCTTTTTCTCTTTGAAAGTTAGGACAGTGTAGTAAATTCAGTATAGTCAGCCCTTCCTGGTGTTTCCTTCTGAGGACCACATTCCATAACAGGCTTATTTTTGAGTATTAATCATTCAAGGTTGATAAACACAAGTTCATGACTTGAATAAAACAGATAGTGTAAATGAGTCTCATGCAAATAACTGAAACCTTAAATATTTATACCCAACTTATTAGAGTCATTCTTATGAAGATAGTATGTAGGACCCAAAATCCTAATCTAATTTTTAAATGTGTCTGCACATGCTTAAAAGTAAACTAGAGTCCGGGCGCCTGGGTGGCTCAGTCGTTAAGCGTCTGCCTTCAGCTCAGGTCATGATCCCAGGGTCCTGGGATCCAGCCCCGCATCGGGCTCCCTGCTCAGCGGGAAGCCTGCTTCTCCCTCTCCCACCCCCCCTGCTTGGGTTCCCTCTCTCTCTATGTCTCTATCTGTCAAAAAATAAATAAATAAAATCTTAAAAAAAAAAAAAAAAGTAAACTAGAGCCCAAACTTTGAGCTTAGACTTCTAAATGCGCAACTATTCATACAGTCTTTAAGATCAAACCAGATCTGGAGCAGTAGCTGGGTCTCTTTGAGAACAGTGCAAGTTGACCCCATTTGAATGGGAAAATGGAGGCGAATGGCAATTTCCCAACTCCACACCACCAGAAAGAACAGTTTCCAAGGATCATTACTGCGGAAGTCCTATGGATTTTTATGGTACTGAATCCCCCTAGTGTTCTGGGTATTAGTTGAAGGACCTTCCTCTGAATGACCTTTTCACTGCAGCTTCTCATGAAAAGGTGTTCTCTTATACCCAAGGAAGCCAGGAACTCGCATGGATTTGCTTTTTGTTCATCCAATGCAGATGAAGTAAGGTGTAACATGACGAGGCAAGCTGCGTGTGGGGAAAGGTGCATTCCTGTGACCTGGCTCTGCAATGGACGGCAAGAGTGCCCTGATGGGACTGATGAGCAGTGTGGTGAGCACTCCTCGCTCTATCGTGTTCTCATCATGGATGAGAATGACCCTTAGTGCTGTGTGCCTGGCTAACGGGGTCAGGTCTTAGGGTTTTCCCTCCTAGGGGGTATTCAGGAATATTAGGTGTGCTGGGTTGTTGCAGGCTTTCAGCAGGTAAGTCTGGGGATGTACATGTTGGTAGTATTGTTCTCAAGACAAGTGTGGAGGGCTAGTTGGGATAGAAAATCCAGCACAAGTCTGGCTTCTCACCTTCAAGTCTAGCTTAAACATGTGACAAGTACTGAAACTGGGATAAAACATTTTCAATAAGTACTGAAGCTGGAAGGCAGGGGTATGGTGTGTTGTTCAGGGTGACACGGAAAGGACCGGCAAATTTAGGATGGACTCCGTGGCAGATCGGGACTTACTTGTTCTTTTGCTGATGAAAATACTTCATACGAAACCCGAACTGAAAAGCTGCCAACGCCCTGACAGACACCTCTTCCTCTCTGTCTCTCGAACACTACCCCCTGCCTGCAGAGGAAGTGTGTCGTGGACACCCACAGGCCTGGCAGTGTGATGACGGGAAGTGTATTTCTGTTAGATGGCGCAGGGGACTGCCTGGACGGCTCTGATGAGGTTAACTGTGGTACGTACAGTTTATTTTCTCTTCGGACATGTTCTCTCTGTGTTAGCCACATCGATGAACCTCCACGCTATTAAGGGACACCAGCAAGTCACTAGATAGCCTTCTGCCGGACGGGGGCTAAATCCACATGTTTGATTGTCACCGGGATGACAGGTGACCTTTTATCCACTTCTGCATTTTGCAAAATCACCTAAAAGATTCTTGCCTCTTTTGGCTTTTTAAGCTGCTTTGGGGGTGAAACTTCAGTGTACAGAGTTGGGGCCACATCTCCGGTGGCCAGCATCCCGTTCGGTTCTTGGTCTTGTGGAGAACAAATCCGTGAGCAAACTGTGAATACCCAAATACACAAGCCTGCAGCTCAGCCGTTCCACCGCACTGAGCCAGCGCCTGCCTTTTACAGAGGTCTCCATCACATGCCCTGGCCAGAAAGCCCAGTGTCCGGGACATTCTCAGTGTCGCGAGGCTTGGGAACTCTGTGACGTCCATGGGGACTGTGGAGATGGGCTCAATGAAGCACGCTGCTCCCCGAACTGCTGTCTGGAGGGCCAGTGGCAGTGCAGGAACCAGGTGTATGTTGTGGATAGCTGGAGGTGCGACGGGGTCAATGACTGCGGGGACTCCTCGGACGAGGACGCCTGTGGTGAGTGCTCCTCCCCCCACCCCTCCCGGCCTGTCCTTTAAAGAGGACAGTTGTACCATGTGGGCTGCTTTCTAAAAGTTGCATTTTCATTCCTATAACCGAGGCTTCATCCTATATCTAAAAATAGGATGTTTCCTAGCAATGACCAAGACGTAGTTAGTTGTCCACGGAAACATCGAGCAGTGCTCGAATAGTAACTCTGTGCTGGACACTCTAGGCAAAATGGCCATGGCTCAGAACCCTGGAGCATCCATATCTGAAGGAAGCCTCCTAACGGATGCCTCACGTCCTTATGCAGTCAATGACAGGGGGAAACTTCTCATTAAAAGAGGACTCCCTCCCCCGCCCCCCAACCCCTGCGAAGAACTTGATGAGTACCACGTTCCTTTTCTTTACCCCACATACACAATGCAATGGAACCTCCAACTTCATGGTAAACCACAATCCCAGTTGATCTTTCTAGAATTAAATCTGCAATATTGAATATATTCAGATGCTAACATTTTTATCATGTATAAACTGGTTTTGTAAGAGGGTCTTCCTTTAGGGCTCACGTTGACAGATTTTAACACCACTTCAATTACAACTACTTAATACTAATTCAGTTCGAATTCAGTATTATTTCAACCCAGTGCCCAAGTGGCTTGCGTCACTTTGTCGTTATCAAGTCTTAAGTCCCAGTTCCCTGACAACTCTGCTTAAAATGATAAGACTTTCTTTCCTACCTAGACTTGCCTTGGGTTCTGAAAATCCTGCCAGCTTACTATGATTAATGATTGTCTGTTTGGCTCCCCCTTCCCCCACGTGCTGTTGGAAAAGAAGGCTCTCCTTCCTACACAGCCTCCTGTCCAGAAGGCACGGTTAGATGTGATGAAGGGAAATGCATCCTGGAATCCCTGATGTGTGATGGGGAGGCAGACCGCGCAGATGGTGCTGATGAACCTACTACATGTGGTGAGGACCCAATTGCCAGGTGTCACGTGGGGGTGGGGAGACTCCGATTACATCAGCCAATGCCTTAGTTATCACGGGGGTCCATGCTCTCAGAGAATGCTTGGACCAAACCCCTACGTCAGCAGTCATCCTTCCGTGATGGGTCCCCCACATCTTACAAGTTCCGGGCCTCGGCTCTGGTCTCCTGAGTGTGTGCAAAGCTTACCTGAGCTGTAAAACTTTGTGAGTTCTCCTCACTTTACGGCTAAATAGACTAAACGCCTCAAACCACATTGCTCCGAAAATTCTGGAATAAAAAAACATAGACTTTGCCACTGAGAAGCAAATCATGTGTTCAAGACCATATGGTGAATTCTCTAAGGATTTAACTGAGGAAGGACTGAGGAAGACTGTTTCCTGGTGAGGAGGGAGGCTCCTGAGCAAGCATCTCAAACTTTTTTTTTTTTTTAAAGATTTTATTTATTTATTTGAGAGAGAGCACATGAGAGAGGGGAGGGTCAGAGGGAGAAGCAGACTCCCTGCCGAGCAGGAAGCCCGATGCGGGACTTGATCCCGGGACTCCAGGATCATGACCTGAGCTGAAGGCAGTCGCTTAACCAACTGAGCCACTCAGGCGCCCCAAGCATCTCAAACTTTAAAACCTTGTGATTCTCACTATAAAAATCACTTGGTTCAAGTTGGGGCAGGGGGGAGGGAGCACCTGCCCCCAGGTCACTTTGTCATCTGTCTCACTTCCTCCTTAAATCTGGGCTTAAATGTGTATGATGAGACCTTTGCAGGGCTGCTAAGGGCTGTGAAAGCCGCTTTCTACTAAAGGAACACATAAGACACTGAAAGCATGAACAGTGGGACAAACTACAGGTTTCTGGTGCTAGAGAGGTAATTCGCTGAGACTAAGAAATTACTATATTGCTTCCTGAGGCAAGGGTCCTGGCCGCTTCTGTTTTCTAGAGAACCTAGGGAAGAGGTTGCTGGCCCTTCCGTGGGTGAGCAATACACCAGCATTTGAAATTATCCAGACTGTCTGCCTGGAAAAGTCCTTTCCCCTGCTCCGTGATTCCTCACTTTCCCTGTTCTACGGTCTTTCCCCAAAGCCTCCACATTCCCAGGTCAGAGGGCAGGGTCAAAGGTTATTCTTCAGAGGTCCTCTAGAGTCCTCACAGCGCGTAGGGCGCTGTGACACCACGTTTGATCCGTATGCTGTTCAGCTCTGCTGACCGCTGCCCTGTCTCTACCAGGGAAGAACGGCTCCCTGGCCAATGGGGGCTGTGAGAGGCATTGCAGTGATACCAGCTGGGGAGTCCAGTGTTCGTGTGGAGCTGGGTGGCAGTTACAGCCGGACGGGCAGAGCTGTGCAGGTCAGAGTTCATCTGGTGCATCTTCCGAAGTTTTTATGGCAGCGGGACATACATGCCATGCAGTTTACCGTCTTAATCACTTTAAGGGTGTAATTCAGGGGCCTCCACCACATTCACAACGGGTGTACACATCACCCCGATCCATCTCCAGAACTTTCTCATCCTCCCCAACAGTCCTCTGTCCCCAGTCCCTGGGAAACTCTACCCACTTTCTGTCTCTCTGGATTTGCCTGTTCTAGTCCTACATGTAAGTGCAGTCATGGGGTATCTGTCCTTCTGTGTCTGGCTTATTTCACTTAGCCTGTCATTAAGGTTCATCCGTGTTGTAGCAGGTGTCAGACTCTCCTTTCCTTTTTAAGGCCAAATACCTCATTCTACGTATATGCCCCATTTTGTTGATCCATCTGTTGAGGGGCATTTGGGTGGTTTCCACCTTCTGGCTATCGTGGACAATGCTATGGACAGCTGGTGTACATAGGTCTGAATCCCAGCTTTTGATACTCCGGGGTACGCACCAGAAGGGGAATTGTCGTATCATGCGGTAACTTCTACGCTTAACTTGAGAAACCTTCAAACTCTTTTCCACAGGGGCTGCCCCACTTGACATTCCCCCCAGCAGTGCATAAACATCTTACCGTTCATTCTGAATCAGCAACACCGCCAGCAGTGTTGCTAAGGTAACCTCCATCTGGATTCTGCACCGGCCACACATCTGGGGTCTCCACACTGACGTTCCTGCTGAAAATTACACTTACTTGTATGGCAACTCCATAGAGGCAGGGACTGTCCGTCCCAGCACCCAGCACAGGGATTTCCACATAATACATGTCCAGTGAGCATCGGAAAGGGGGCCCAGTGGCCCCAAAACACTCAAAAGATGGCTCCATGGTCATCTCTGACTTCTGACTCTCCATCAGATATAGATGAATGCTCCAAGGCCTACGGTCCCTGTGGCCAGCTATGCTGTAATGTCCCAGGCTCTTGCTCCTGTGCGTGTGTTCAAGGTCACCAGCTCTACAATAGTACCAGTTGTCGAGTTACAGGTGAGTTTCGCAACCCTAAGCAAAGCCTAGCCCTTGCTCTGTCCTTAGCGGTAATTATAGATAGAAGTGCTATTGATGATTCACTTTAGGGTCTAGTATTAGAGGTGACTTTATTCTTTCCATAAAGAAGCTGCTATTACAACATTCCTTGGCCAAATCAAGTATCAGTTGCTATTAAGTGTCTTTCTTTTTCTTTTTCTTTTTTTTTTTAAGATTTTTTATTTATTTGACAGAGAGAGAGACACAGTGAGAGAGGGAACACAAGCAGGGGGAGTGGGAGAGGGAGAAGCAGGCTTCCCGTGGAGCAGGGAGCCCGATGTGGGACTCGATCCCAGGACCCCGGGATCATGACCTGGGCCGAAGGCAGCCGCTTAATGACTGAGCCACCCAGGTGCCCCTCTTTATTTTTCTTTAATTTTATTTCTCTAAGTAATCTCTACACCCAACATGGGGCTACATCTTACAACCCCAAGATCAAGAGTTGCATGCTCTCCTGACTGCACCAGCCAGGCGCCCCCATATTAAGTATCTTTAAAATGACTTAGCTAGGGCACTTGGGTGGCTCAGCTGGTTAAGCCACTGCCTTAGGCTCGGGTCATGATCCTGGAGTCCTGGGATCGAGCCCTGCATCGGGCTCCCTGCTCGGCAGGGAGTCTGCTTCTTCCTCTGACCCTCCCCCTTCTCATGCTCTCTCTCTCTCATTCTCTCTCTCTCAAATAAATAAATAAAATCTTTTAAAAAAATAAAAATTTTTTAAAATTCCTAAATAAAATGACTTAGCTATTCTGTAGTCTATATACCTAGGTGCTCCAGAGACCCCCCCCCCCGCCCCGACAAAATGTTAACTGGGCCTGCTCTGCTTTGACGGTGGAACAGTGAATTCCATTTGGCTGCTGTGTAAGAGGGTGGGGGTGGTGGTGGAGGGGACCTCTGTCTAGGTGGGGGAAGGGCTGCATCGAAATCAAATAGGCCCAAAGTTCCAAAGATGAGCTGGAAAGTGTTGGACTTGAGAGGAGGAATTGTAACTTAGGGTGGTCAGCTAGATCTCCTCTGGACACACCAGAGTCCAGACTTCAGGGATAAGTGGATTTTAGCATGGGAGATGGGACAGCATCTTTGGTGAAAGAGAATGGCCTGAAAGAAAGTGTCAAAGGGATGTGTCACTATTCCTTTTCCACCTTCTATTGCAGATGATGCTGTTAAAATTCTTATAGCGGCAGACAGAGAACTTGGTGTCCTGGATCGAAGAACAGGCATCTATGGGACCCTGATACCTATAAAATCGAGGCCTGCTTCTGTTGCCTATGATCTTGAGAGAAGCACGTACTTTTGGGTGGATGAAGTCTTACATGTGTTCGTCCTTGGGCAGCCAAACTCGGTTCCTCTCTATCCAGGTATATTTCTTGACGTTAAGAGCCTTAACTTCTTTTTAAAGATTTTATTTATTTATTTATTTGAGAGAGAGAGAATGAGAGACAGAGAGCATGAGAGGGAGGAGGGTCAGAGGGAGAAGCAGACTCCCTGCCGAGCAGGGAGCCCGATGCGGGACTCGATCCCGGGACTCCAGGATCATGACCTGAGCCGAAGGCAGTCGCCCAACCAACTGAGCCACCCAGGCGCCCAAGAGCCTTAACTTCTTAAAGCTACTCCAGCAGAGTATAAGCAACCTACGTATTTATCTGGACACCGTCTGTGGACTCACTTGTCGTGAATCATGAGAGTGTATACAATCCTGATTTGAGATAAGACCACGTAATTTGGCTCAACAGGAGCTTTGGTAGAGCATAACCGGAGAATGAGATCACTCTAAAGAAGTACAGAAAGTTTGGGGATGTGGCCTCAGGCCAAGGTTAGTCTCCGCTCCATCACTAGGTATGTGACTTTGAGCAAGTTGTTAACTCCTTTGCGCCACGCTCAGTAAGACGAAAGGGATAGCCCTGGTTTCATTGGGTAAGCAGGGGGGGATCCAAGAAGAATGGTGCATGTGAGGAAGTGCTTGGCATTGTCCTGGGCACATAGAAATCATCTGCTAGCATTGTCCTGGGCACATAGAAATCATCTGCTAGCAGTTAAGAGTTGCAATTCCTCACGATTCCCCTGCGACTTCTGTGATAGCTGTTGCCCCAAACTGAGGTCATTGCATTCTCTTGGATTTCTTGGTTCTGCTTCTGCTAAGGTCCTTCTCTTTCCCTACTGCCCACTGTATATTGGACATAGCACATCTCTGGTCTTCCTTCCCTGTGTCCGTTTGCTGCCTCATACAGCCTGAAATCAGAAGATGTAGAAAAGTTTAGTCCGAATCTTTTTTTCAAGGTAAGAAGAAGGTAGAAGAATACAGGAGCATAACACTATCTTGTATATCCCCAGAACTTAAAACCGTGGACAGTATCTCTTTGGACTGGCTCACGGGGCAGTTGTAGTGGGCTAGCAGCTTCGCGAGGGTCATCGGTGCTGGCTTGAGTGATGACAGAGGCGATGTCAAGATCTTGGAAAAGGATCTGGTGCCAGAGCAGCTAATCGTGTTTCCCACGAAGAAGTAAGTAGTGTTTCTTTGAGAATATATCCCAAATCATGGGTTATCTTAGATATTTAAGTCGATAAGGGAGCCCTTCCACGTTTTCAACGTAGCTCTCATTTGCTCCAAAAATGTCTTCATTTTAAGTCTAAATTGAATCCTAGGGAGAGCAGCTTTTCAGCCCACTGAGTCTGAGGGCAGAAATCTCCTGCATTCTTAGCTGCGCAGTGACCTGGGGGCCTGAACAAGAGCGCTAAGGGGGCCTGGCTGTTCAGGACAGCGTATGTGCAGTCCGGGGGCGGGGGCGGGGGCGGGGGGGCTACTGTTAACACTTTGCGCTTTTGCTTTCCTCAGGTCCTTGTTTGGGTAAATCGTGGTAAGAAAGGCAAGAGAACTATCGAAGCTGCAGGGATGGACTGCTCGGATCAGAAGGTGCTCGCAGCTGTCCACATGGAGGAGCCTGTGGGACTGACGCTTGACTACGTGGCTGGCCGGCTCTACTGGATCAGTGAATATAAAGAGGTACTGGAGAGAGGTCAGGAAGCAGAACATTTAGTAGGGGCTTGGTAGGATGGTGGGTAACTACAAAGTTCTCCTAAGTCTCGCATCAACACTGCAAGGTGTCTTCTGGCCATGCAGACTGAGAAAAGCAAGCTATGATGGCCCAGTATCTTTGGGTGGAGCCCAACCAGATCAACATAGGTTGGGAGACTTAGTGTGGCTTTCTCAAACACTGCAGTCAAACTTAACACTGGAATTTCCTGGTAGTATAGGTCATATTCCATGTTGTCACCCAGGATATAAAACCTTTTAAGATGGCAGACCGCCTCCTTGAAAGCATGTCGTTAAGTACTTCTTACTTAGTACTTACTTGTACTCCTATTTCTAGGTCTTAATATTACAGTTGATTTTATCTTATTTTTGGAAACATCAAACTGACAGACCAATATGACATGGTGGCTAAAAGCGTAGCCTTGGGGGTCATAGTTTTTTTCTAAGACTTTGGTGTTTTGTTTTGTTTTGTTTTTTTAAGATTTTATTTATTTATTTGGGTCGGGGGAGAGCATGGTAGGGAGAGGTAGAGAGAAAGGGAGAGACAGACTCCCCGCTGAGCAGGGACCCCGACGTGGGGCTCGATCCCAAGACCCTGGGATCATGACCTGAGCTGAAGGCCGATGCTTAACCGACTGAGCCACCCAGATGCCCCCATTTTTTTTTAAAGTAATCTCTACACCCAATGTGGGGCTCGAATTCACAGCCCTGACTTTGGGAGTTGCATGCTGTACCAACTGAGCCAGCCAGGGACCCCGGGAGTGGTATTTTTAAGTCTGTTACTTCAGCTGTGATTTTGGCAATTTATGGCACCTCTTTCAGCTCCCATTGCCCTCTCTGTTTATCTCAGATAGCAGTTAGAGAATGTAGGGAAAGGACTTGGTACAACGTCTGGATGCAGACATAAGATACAGCAGCTACTTATACAATGTACCTGTGACCCCAGCCAGTCCAACCACTGGCTTTGGCATTAGCCTCCATGAATTCTAAGATGCTTTCATCTTTGTCAAGTTGATAGCGTGTGAAGATGTTTAATCAGTGTCCACGCAAGAGGCGCACTGATGTCGGCCCCTCTGGCTAATGCTGCCCGGCTCTCATGACTCTACCCTTCAGTCCATAGAGACAGTAAACGTGGATGGCAGTGGGAGGCACACCTTTCCTGAGATCTTCTTGGAAGATGACGACCCAATAGGACTAGCTGTATTTGAGAACTCTTTCTTCTGGGCAAATAAAATACGGCTGTTTCACACTTCGCCTCACACCCCAAAGGAGAGAGTGGTATTGCTCAGTGCTTCCATATCTGCTTTCTCGGTCCTCCACAAATCCCAACAGCCCAAGGGTATGTCACTGACATGTTAACTGTTGATGACGTAGAAGTTTTCAGTTCTTGACAGAAAATTGAAGAAAGCCCAGCATCCTGTTTACAGAAGGAAGTCAAATATTCATTGACTAGGAGTTAAAAGCTTTTGTTAATCAGAAATTATATGTCAGATTCAACTCAGATAATACTTCTTAAGTGGGTCCGAGAGACTCACTGAAGTAGAGAGCCGAGACCACTATTTACTTCTAGAGGAGTCTTCCTATCAGCAACCAGCCAGTCCTTTTGCCTTAACTCTAGGGCAGAAGATCCTGTTAGTTGAAGACTTACTGGCCTGAGCTTAATATGGATAAGTAATTGCTACTATCCGAAAGGGGATCATGGGAGTTTAAAGGTCAGCATGCCTAACCTAGAAGGTAACGAGTATCCTGGGATTCCTCTTAAGGCAAAACTAACTTAACTCCCCTTGAGTATTAAGTTTTGAACAAGTATGGAGAATTCTGAGATCATATCTAACCTATTTCTATTTGAAAATAGGCAGATACCCAGCATGCGCTCCGGGCTCGTGCAGCCACCTCTGTCTCCTGTCCCCCGTCCATCCCAAGGGCTATCAGTGTGTTTGTCCAGAGGGAATGTTCCTTTTACCTTCTGGGATATGTAGTGGTAAGTGTGCTGGGCGAAATGGGCTTGGCTCAAGGAGGCACATTCCATGGTAGGCCTGGAAATAATGTAGTTTCCATTTTGGGATCAATCACTTTTACACGGACAACCTTACTTTGATAAATTTTGTTATCCAAAGATCTTTTTTTTTTTTTAAAGATTTTATTTATTTATTTGACAGAGAGAGACACAGCGAGAGAGGGAACACAAGCAGGGGGAGTGGGAGAGGGAGAAGCAGGCTCCCCGCGGAGCAGGGAGCCCGATGCGGAACTCGATCCCAGGACCGTGGGATCATGACCTGAGCTGAAGGCAGTCGCTCAACCAACTGAGCCACCCAGGCGCCCTCCAAAGATCTTGATTAGGTTTTTTTTTTTATTGTGTTAAAAGTACAGAACATAAAAGTTGCTATTTTAACCTCTTTCAAGTGTATAGTGGCTTTGAGTGTATTCACATTTTTATGCAACTATCACTACCATCCATCTCCAGAACTTTTTCTTTTTTTTCTTTTTTTTTAAGATTTATTTATTTTAGAGAGAGAGAGTGTGAGCAAAAGGGAGGGGCAGAGGGAGAGGGAGAGAAACTCAAGCAGACTCCCCAGTGAGTGCAGAGCCTGATGTGGGACTTGATCTCATGACCCTGAGATCACGCCCTGAGTCGAAATCAGGAGTCGGATGTCCAACTGACTGAGCCACCCAGGCGCCCCTCCAGAACTTTTTCATCTCCCTAAACTGAAATTTTATACCCATTAAACAATAACTCCCCATTCTTTTCCCGCCAGCCCCACCCTTAAACCACCATTCTGCTTTCTGTATGAATGTGACAACTTATATGATTCCATATAAGTGGAATCCTACAGTATCTGTCCTTATGTTGCTGGCTTATTTTACTTTACTATCTTTAAGGTTCGTACATGTTGTCATATGTGTCAGAATTTCCTTTCTTTTTGAGGCTGAATGATCATTTTATTTATACTATATTTGGTTTCTCCATTCATCCATCAATGAATATTTGGGTTTGATTGATTTTTGAAGCAGGAAGAAATAGCAAACACCTCTCAGTTTTACCCCCAAATTAAGTTGGTATGAAAAAGAAATTCTCCATAGTCTTATGACTATTGTGTGTTCTGACTTAGGTTTGTAAGCAGGGTCTACTTCAGTACTGTTAATTGATTTGTCTTTGAAATATTGAGGCTTATAAGCTCCATTGAGCATCTCTATCCAAATTACTTTTTTTTTTTTTGAAAGATTTTATTTATTTATTTTAGAGAGCGCATGAACAGGGGGAGGGGCAGAAGGAGAGGGAGAGAGAATCTCAAGCAGACTCCCGCTGAGCATGGAGCCCAATGCAGGGCTCAATCTCACAATCCTGAGATCATGACCTAAGCTGAAACTAAGAGTCGGGTGCTTAACTGACGAAGCCACCCAGGTGCCCCCCCCCCCCAATTACTTTTTGCTAAAGAACACTCAGGTTTTAAGAAGGATAAATACATTCATGCTCTAACTACCTTTATTTTTTTTATTTTTTATTTTTTTTTAAAGATTTTATTTATTGATTTGACAGAGACAGAGACAGCGAGAGCAGGAACACAAGCAGGGGGAGTGGGAGAGGGAGAAGCAGGCTTCCCGCCGAGCAAGGAGCCCGATGTGGGGCTCAATCCCAGGACCCTGAGATCATGACCTGAGCCGAAGGCAGTCGCTTAACCAACTGAGCCACCCAGGCACCCCTCTAACTACCTTTAAAGAACATAATTCTCAGGGGTAGCCACTGAATGTGATCATGGCGTATGTAATAGGCCATTGTGCCAAACTCAGGACTTGAGCTTAAATTGTATCTTGAACATTATATATAGAGTTAAATACCCAAGTAACTTTCCTTTAAATAGGCAATCGAATTTAAAATTCTTTCTACTGAGACTTGTGTGCCATGAGCAAGGATTTAAGGACATTACTGAATCAAACGGGGCACCGCCCAGCCCTGATCCTTGTGGTTCTGTGTTAAATTTTCAGCAGGAATTCGAAAGACTTAGTGCCTTGGGAAAGCAGAGCAATTCTTCATTTGCCCAAATGACTCCCTTCTCCAAGGAAGCTAGGGCATTGGTGTTGTATATGTGTTTCAGAAGGGAATTTGATAAGACCCCTTTAGAAGTGTACCTCAGCTGGAGAGATTGCTCAAGAAAGGAGCATGGGGCTTATCTGACAACTGGCCAAACAGTAAATCTCTCCTTTTTCTTGGTAGAGTTAAAGCTAGTGTTTTCTTCTGGCAAACGTCTCTACTTACTGAAAGTTGGTTTTATGGGAACTGCTATAGAGAGAACCCTAGTTCAAGAGCATCCTAGGAACATCTATTTACTGGATATTGACTGGAAAAGAAACCTCATCTACTGGACAAATGCCCAGGGACAGCTATTCTGCTCAACTGGCTATTCAGGAGAAAAGCGAGAGATTTGGACAGAGCATACAGGTAAGCTGTGTGGCTATTTTGGATTTTCCTCTTTATTTTCTGGCTCTAAAATTAATGAGAGCCAAAAAAAAAACAAAAACCACCAAACCCCCCCCAAAAAACTACCTGTTCCTGATCTGAATCAACCTTAATGCCAAAGAATGGCTTTAAAGTAATTTAAATATGAACTATCTGACTTACCCTTTTACTTACGAAAGGTGCACAGGCTGTTAAAAGGCTACCATGATTTGGGAAATCCTAAGGTCACTGGTAAATTTTTGAAATTCAATTCTATTTTTCTGGCCTTTGGGTAGGACAGCAATAGACCTTAAATATTTCAATTTTGCATTGCAGATTTTTCTTGCACTAATTTAGAAGTGATTTACAATGCAGATTTCTGAGAGAACTAGCAAGATATCTTCTTATTGTGGTGATATATACTTTCTCTCCTCTCCCACACTGCTGAATGGCACAGCCCACCCTTATTGCCCTGTACTCCACCTAAAGGCAAACACCTACTTTATAAAAGAGAACGTGAGGCTAGAGCTCTAGGCTAGTAATTTGATTTCTGAATGTCTGGGCCCTGGGTACTCTAAGTACCAATGATATGCTTTACTACAAGAAGCGCCATATTGAAATGCGTGTTCCTGAGACATCCTTCAGAGCAGTAGACTCTACCGAGTCCTGTGGGCAAGCACAATGCCTGGCACCTAAGAACTTCCAATACCTGTCCCGGAGAACTTTCAGGAAAAAGTGAAATGGGCAGCGTTCTTGAAATACATCTGATGGCTGTCTGAGGAAACTCGTGATCTTGAATTTCTTCCCATTTCTTCCCACCAATTAAAATGCCACCTTCACTCCACTGGCTAATCTTAGCCAATAGGTTTCTGTGTTACAGTGATCACATCAAGGATTTGTAAGGGACTGGCAATTTCATTTGAGCTGGCTTCTACTGTGGCATGTTGAGTCCCTGTGATAGGTGGCTCTGAAATAATAGAAAATATATAGGTCTCTGTCCCTGGTTACAGGCACAGAGTTCCTAAGACCTTTGTAACTTCCTGAGTGATAGCATTGGACACAGAGCTCCCCTAAGTCCTTTGGAATTTTCTAGGTGATAGGAAGAGCTTGGTTTGAATGAGGCAGTTTTGGTAGGGTCTGCAGTGCAGTGCAAAATTGATTTTAAGGTCCATTTCTACATTATCCAGACTTAAGGCCAGAACAAATTTAAAAATCTTACCACTGACCCTGGGAGGTTGTTTACCAGAAAGACCAAGCCACGGCTAGAATCTTAGAACTTTCAGCCCCACTCCCTATTCACTGGAGAGGGGAGAGGGGCTGGAAATGGAATCAGTGAGAGGGGAGAGGGGCTGGAAATGGAATCAGTGATCAGCCATGCCTACGTGATGAAGCCTCCATGAAATCCCCAAAGTAGGTGGTTCAGCGAGCTGGGTTGGTGAACACATCCGTATGCTGGGAGGGTGGTATTCCCCATCTCCATGGGAACAGAAGCTCCTACTTGTGGGCCCTTTGGATGTTGCCCTGTGGATCTCTTTGTCCAGCTGTTTATCTGTATCTCTTATGAAATAAACCAGTAAATGTGTTTCCCTCAGTTCTGTGAGCAGCAAATCCTCAAACTCAAGGGGGTTGTAGGAACCCCGATTTAGAGCCAGTGGATCAGAATGCAGGTGACAACCAGACTTGTGGTTGGCATCAGAAGTGGGGGCAGTCTTGGGACAGAACCCGTGGGCTCTGATGCCAGCTCGAGGAGGACAGGGTCAAAACTGAATTGTGGGACATTTGGCTAGTGTTGCAGAATTGCTTGGTGTGGGGACCCCCCCCCACACCCACATCTGGTGTCAGAAGTGTTGGAGGAGTAAAGGTGCCGCACGGGTGTGTTTTTTCCTGTACAGTGGCTGAAAGCTTGACAAAGCCAGGCAGGCCCTTCACAGAAGGGATCAGGCTGGTTACTACCTGTCAGGACCTGTTTGCAGATCTCAGGACCTCCTTACAACCCATGAGCACGCAGCTTTCAGCTTATCCTTATATTAGAGGGTGCTAATATCAGTGTTTTCTCTTTTTTTTATTTATTTTTTTTTTAAAGATTTTACTTATTTGACAGAGAGAGAGACAGCGAGAGCAGGAACACAAGCAGGGGGAGTGGGAGAGGGAGAAGCAGGCTTCCCGCCAAGCAGGGAGCCCGATGCGGGACTCGATCCCAGGACCCTGGGATCATGACCTGAGCCGAAGGCAGACGCTTTACCGACTGAGCCACTCAGGCATCCCTCTCTTTTTTTTTTTTTTTAAAAAGATTTATTTGAGAGAGAGATCGAGCACACATGGCAGGGAGGGCCACAGGGAACGAGACACATAAGCAGACTCTGTGCTGAGCGTGGAGCCCAACGTGGGGCTCCATCTCATGACCGCAAGATCACAACCTGAGCCAAAACCAAGAGTCGGATGCTTAACTGACTCTGCCATCCAGGCCCCCTAGCGTTTCCTCTTGAATAAGTTAATCTTGTCCTCGTTGAAAAGTGTAGCTGGGAAATACAGAGGAGGTTGCTAATAAAAAATGGGAGGGCTTCAACATTCTGTTTTAGGCAAGAGTTCATGTCTTTAAGAACCTGCATAGAGGGCGCCTGGGTGGCTCAGATGGTTAAGGGTCTGCCTTCGGCTCAGGTCATGGTCTCAGGGTCCTGGGGTCGAGTCCCGCATCGGGTTCCCTGCTCGGTGCGGAGCCTGCTTCTCCCTCTCCCTCTGCCACTCCCTCTGCTTGTGCTCTTCTGTCTATCTCTCTGTCAAATAAATAAATAAAATCTTAAAAAAAAAAAAAAAGAACCTGCATAGAATTGCTCAAAGAACATTCTGTGTCCCTGACAACTGGCCATTCAACCTTGAATTTGCACAGCACTGGTGAGACCTCATGCCAGGGAGAACTTGTCTTCTGTGCCGATGACAGAGCCCAAAGGAGAAGAGAGAAGCTGAACTGGGCGTGGCCAGTCTGTTCTTACTAACTGGCCAACCTCAAGTCCCTTCTTTCCTAGAGTGACTTAAGGAATGTGCAGGACAACTCTGTGCAAGTTCCTCCACATGAAAACATGAGGAATAGTAAGACCTCCCACCCTAACACTCAGGCAGTGGGAAGAACTAGAACACATGAATCCTGTGTGTACAGGCTTCTCCATTCTGCTACCCATGCCCCAGCTTTGTGCCTCAAAGCTGTTTGTCCACCTCCCTCGTAGTTAACATTTGAATTCTGAAATATGTCCCGGCACACTACAGGGTTTTCTATTAAGACCCAGCTCTCTGGGGGGTGGGGGATGTGCGCATAGATACATTATATATGTTTGTAATAAAGCTTACTGATATAAAGGTGGTAACAATTTACAAATAACAAAATATACAATGTCCTTTGTTGTAAATTTCATATAGCTACATGATTTTCAGATTGGCTACAGATCCAAGAATTCAGAATAAAAAAGCAGTTTATAGTTCAATCAAAATTTAACAAAATCCAACCATGAATACATGCTTGATTGAGATCTGATTTGGCAAGGAGTCGCTGCCATCGCTGAGTGAATACAGTCCTACTGTAATGTTATTTGACACTTGTTTCCATAAACAAGCAAGAAGTGCACCAGTGAAAACTAATTGGAATGAGTTTATTGACCCAAAGGACTTATTTGTGGATTTGGATAATTGTTTTCAAATACTAGGAAAATGTTTCCCCAACTTTTGTGGTCTTTAAAATGTCATGGCCATAGGTGGGACTTCTGTGAGTTTAATTTGCAGTATTAACATTTTTCCTCTGCCACTTAAGTCCAGGCCAGGGGTTGTCGGCCTCTTTCTAGAAAAGGCCAGACAGTAACTACAGTTAACTATTTCAGTCTACTCGGGCACTCTGCCATTGTATCTGCAAAGGAGCCAACGACCATATGTGCACGAATGACCATGGTGTGTTCCCCCGGAATTTACAAAAACACACCGCAGGCTGGAATTGGCCCAAGAGCCATTGTTTGTCAGTCCCCGGTCTAGAAAACAAAACCGAAAACAAATCAAGCCCTGATATGGAGTGTTTGCCAATGGCTCTGGTTAAAAATACGCCCACAGTGCCAGGTTTCAAGCTCCCCATGTAATGTCACTTTACGTGGGGTTAGGAAGGGGTGTGCCGTAGCAAAATGCAGGAATGTGAGGACTGGAGTATTTTTGTTTCAAATGCGATTAAGTCGATGTAATCTAGTTTTAATAATGATTATACCGGACAGCAAGCTTGCAGCATTCCTGAATTTAACAACTGGCCATTCCAGCACATCGCTCTAAGATAACGGATGCTCTCCTAAGCTCTTCATAGGTACGAACTCTAATCCTCAAAACTGAGAGAAGCACTGTCCCAACCAGGCATTTGCAGAAACTGAGGCATAGTAATTAGCTGACACCTTATTTTGGAATGTGCTTCGAAAATGGCAATCTGACTTGCTAGCCTAATACTGCTCTAACTTTTATGCTATACCACACCCCAGGGTAGGTACTACCTAGCTGAGACCCACTTGCGCAGCTCTAGTGGGCCAGGATGGGAGTAGGGAGTGCTTGGTGGGTTAGTGCCCGCGTCTGTTACACTTAAAAGCTACCACTTTGTGGCTTTCACGTACTTGGTCCCTACCCTATCTCTGTCTTCTAGCTGTAGGTCTCCTCATTATCCATCCACTCTACCGGTGACCTTTCATACCACTGTTGTGGTGACACTTTACCCAGTCTCTGCTTTCCCATAGCGATTTCAGTTCTAGCCACTGGGCATATCATTGATTGATTTTCATACTTAACTGACAAAAAGGGAGGTGAATCCAAAGTTGCAGGTCTGCATGCAAACGTAAGCATTGCCACTTAGATATCTAACTTCTAAAAGGCAGTGGATATCTCCCTCACCAGCTGGTTGTGAGGATCACGTGGGCTCGTATGAGAGATAAGGTGCTGGAACCAGAGTAAGCATGATGGGACTCCTCATGTGAATGAGGCATGTGGACTTGTTAGGGACCAGGCTTTGCATCTCTTTAAGCATCTTCTATCCTTGACCCAAAACGTTAAGACCATGCACGAATGTATTTGAATGTCCTTTCTGATGGGAGTTCCTTTCTCCCCTCACAGTCTGCTCAGCAAATGTGGACATACCCACGGGGAACTTGTACTGGGTGCCCTGTGACCGAAGTGCTATCCAGAAGACTAGGATCCCTGGCCCAGACACCTGGACCCTCTACAGAACAGGCAGCATTATACTGCCTCTTCTTCTCGATTGGCCAAAGAGAGTGCTCTACTGGGTAGAAAGTGGGAAACACTTGCAAAGTATGACTCTCGATGGCAAAACCAGACAGCAAGTCTGGACAGGCACCTGGACGGCGGACACCCACATGGCCTTAGACCTTGGCTCGTCTAGCATCCTCTGGACGACCAAAGGGTCAGGTAAGCGCGACACAGAGCAGTGCAGTTGGAAGAAGCTGGGGGAGTGGTGGTGGTAAGGCTCGTTTCAGGATGCGGATCACTGTCGGTCCTAGAACTAGCTAGACCTTGGCTCAAAATCTGGTTTTCATAGTTACAGCTTGGGCACACGTCCCTCGGCTCAAACTCGGTTTCCTTTGTAAGTCTAGATTTCTGACTTGAGAGGTAGAAAACTGCAGAGCTAACATACACTTAGTTGCTTTTTGTTTGGGTTGTGTTTCTGTCTCCATGAGTAGAAGTAATAGACCCAAACTTGCATTGCAAATGAAACAGAGGTGCTTTAGGTGCACTGGATATCAGATACGACCTCTACCCTGCTGCCAACCCTGATGGTCTCCTCCAGAAGCCACCTCCAATGGCTGGTGGCTGTGTGCAGGCGACCAAGCGTGTTGGCACACCGCCTGAAAGACAGGAACGGCACGTCTGACGCTTCCACGCAGCACATCTCACGTTCCTGGAGCTTTAAACACTTCCTGGGACTATCTTTAACTACAAAACTAAAACCTACAAAACTCGATAGGAAGAATCTGTGCTTATTATCAGTGGGGCTCACTGACCCTTAATCGAGGGCTACCCATGCCCCCCGTCACGGGTTACTTGTTCTCTGTCAGCTTGTAAGCACTTGACTCTTCCTTAGGGTTGCAGAGTCTGAGTCTCCTAAAAAACAGAACATACACTTTGAACAAAACCTGGAGTGATGGCATTATAGCGGCTCACGAGCCCTACCTGGTGACCGTGCACAGAGGAGCCCTCCTGCTGTGGGACAGGAGGACGCTGGAGCCCTTCGCGGTGTCGAAAGAGCCGTACGTGAGGAAGATGATCATCCTGGCAGAGAATCAGCAGGTTTCAGGCGAGTCTTCCTCTGTGCGGTGCTTCTTTGAAATCCACTTTCTCTGCCTCTCGCCGGTGTGTTTTCAGAGGATAAAATCCTGGGTATCTTTGTATTGGCAGTTGTCCTGAGCCACAGTGCAGCAGGCCTTCTCCCTAACTTGGCCCTATCCTGGAGGAGTAAGAATCGGACCCCTTTCTCAAAGTTGCTAAATGACACAAGACCCCAGGCAAAACTCCCAGAAGTTTGCCCACCAGAACCCCTTTGGGGAGTCCTCTCGTACGTTAGCACCTTAAATCTCTTAATCTGATGGTAAAGAGATCCATTTAATTTGTCTAAAGCACTTACCCGAACAGATTTTACCGAGGAACCCCCATGGTCTTAACGTTTCGGGTCAAGGATAGAAGATGCTTGGAGAGATGCAGCAGCATCTCGCCGAGGATCCTTTGCAAAACCATTCTGGGGCTGTGGATACCAACCAGGACAAGCAGTCCTTCCGGCTGTTGAAGCTGTACCCGTAGTTCAGATCACCCTGCTTACAGCTGCTTTTTTTTCCTCTTCACATAAGCCTTTGGCCTGGCGCCAAAAAATCGGATCCTGGATCTTGAGGCAGACAAAGCAGAAATCCTATCACAGGATCCAGGGGGCTTTGTTATAGGGTATAACAGGAAGCCAGACAGAACAAGTCCCTGTCTGCAGAAACTTTATTTATTTATTTTTTAAAGATTTTATTTACCTGACAGACACAGCGAGAGAGGGAACACAAGCAGGGGGAGTGGGAGAAGGAGAGAAGCAGGCTTCCTGCCAAGCAATGAGCTGGATGCGGGGCTCGATCCCAGGACTCCGGGATCATGACCTGAGCCGAAGGCAGACGCTTAACGACTGAGCCACCCAGGCGCCCCCCCTTTTTTTTTTAATATTTTATTTATTTATTGGACAGAGAGAGAGAACAAGAGAGGGAACACAAGCAGGGGGAGTGGGAGAGGGAGAAGCAGGCTTCCCGCCGAGCAGGGAGCCCGATGGGGGCTGATCCCAGGACCCCGGGATCATGACCTGAGCTGAAGGCAGACTGAGACTTAACAGTTGAGCCACCCAGGCGCCCAGAACTTTACTTTTCCTTCCTAGCAGGTAGCATCAGGCAGTGAGAAGAAGTTATTAGGCTTGAAGGAGAAAACGATTTGCCCAAATAGGAAGCCATTAGATGATGGGCCGATGGACCACATCTCACCTAAGGATCTAGGCTTTGAGGCCATTTCACTTTTTTCTTCCTACGAGGTAGATACATGTAGCTGCCCAGCCCCAACATGGCTTTTGGAGGAGTGGGACAGTAGAAGCCCATGTCTGGTGCCGAGACCGCGGGGCCTGCCTCAATGAAGCCACCGTTTATTGCAGATCCTGAGCTTGAAGAGGCGGCTGCAGGCGGTCCTCCCCCCGCACTTCCTGTAGCACTCCCGCTGCTTTGCACCCCATCCTCTGTCCCCTGTCGGAACGGGGAGGGATGTGTTTCTCAGGAGTACCTCTGCGATGGCAAGCCGGACTGTCAGGATGGCTCGGACGAAGGGGACTGTTTCCGGGTCTGCAACAGACCAGGTCTGTCTCTGTGCCAGGAATGCTGATTCAGCTTTGGGCACGTGGCGTTGATCACAATCACCCTCGCTTCCCCTAGGTAAATTGTAGCTGAAGGTCCCAGTCTGTCAGATTACAGTCTCTGCCAGTATCCATGTTATCACAGTTAAGTCAGATGTTTTACCAGGTGTAATTTTTAACTATTGCTTCCTTGCCTCCTCACGTTCGCTTAAGTGTTCCAATATTTGCCTCTCTAAAGGCTGAGCCATAAACCGACCTGAATGGACCACTTAGAACAGATTTGGCAGTGTTTTTCAACAAGCTGTTAAAGTCACCAAACCAATATGAGCCCTTATTCCTTGAACAACCTCGTTCAGCTTGCGAATTTAATTGACCTGAGCACTTTATTAAAGCTTGTTTATGGATTAGATAAGCTATAGAGCTCGAACAGTTAGGATGCAGTCCACCTGCCCCTCAAAGTCCAGGATGAGGGTGAGTTAATCTAACTTTAAACCTTCAGCGGGACTGAGTAGATGGCATGAGCCCTGGGTCCTTTCCACTTAAGGGGTCTTCCAGTGTCTGAACAGAAACCAGTGCATCGAGGAGAAATACCACTGCGATGGGGCTCAGCAGTGCTTGGATGGGTCTGATGAGCTGGGCTGCTGGAAGCCCACTGAAGATTGTTCTTTACGTTGTGACAACAAGACCTGCTGTATCCCCAAGAGCTGGCTGTGTGATGGCAAACGCAGACTGTTCTGACAAGAGAGATGAGCAAGGTACTTACCGTGCAACTCATTTATGGTTATGTTCTACGGGGTTGCCACCAACCCTGAATGAACAGATATCACATCATTGCTCATAGGAAAAATAGAAGGTGAGGTTTCTGAGAATCTCTCATGATGATATTTTTGTCAACTAATCAACATGTAATCTTGTTTTAGGTGTATTGCTGTTTAAAGACTACTTGATATACGTATTGTTGACTCATTAACATTGAAGTCACAGCCAACAGCATTATAACTCCTGCCCGAACAAAGCTTAACACATGTATTTGCTCTGTAAGGCAGCTCACAGGCATCTCGCACTAGGAACCTGAGACAGCGTTTCCGCACTACCCTTGGGGGCCCTTTTCAACTGCAGAATCCCCCTAAAGTACAGCGTGGGAAGTATGGCTCTAAATAGACCACAGAAAGGACACTTGTTTGCAGTGTGAGGACTGAAACGAGAAGGCAGAGCGTTGCCTTGTTCCATCTCAACTGGAAACATGCGCTAGGCAACGCAAGTGTTTTGCTGCTTTGTGTATGCTTATCTTCAAATGACTGTGGAAGTGTGGGAGCATGGATTTGGGGGGAGGGTTACGAATTTTGGCAAGTAGGTGAATGTGCAAATAATGAATCTGCAGATAACGAAGATGGACTGTCCTTACCACGAAGTTAGCAGACTGGGATGAAAGGGCCTGAGTTGGAGGGCTGTTGGAGATCATGGTACAAGACTTCCCTCTCTGTAACGAGATTCCCATTAGTGGAAAACCAGTCTACTTGACACAATGTTTCTTGAGCTAGAATCGACCCTCTTGAAGATTTTAATTTTGATCCTAGGTCTTCTCATGTGGTGGGCCATCCTTATTTTTAGATGTGATTGCTTTCCCCTCTTGTCAATGGGATACTCAATCTTCCTTTTTAGTCTTCCCAGTGACCTGTTTCAAGAACCTTAATCACATTGTAGGAATAGGGTAGAAGAGAGAATTTGGAGAATTGAAGTGGGAAGAGGAGGAGGCTTGGTGAAGTACCATGATAGATTTGAATACAGAGGCCACTGGGTAGCCAGACAATATCAGTGCACTCGGACTTACGAGAAGAACATCAGGAGGAGAGGCAGGAGGAAACCCCAAGTATAATTTACTTTTCAATGCGTATTTATGGTTTTGCCTAGGACCTGAGTTTTTTTTCTTGAGCCAAGTCAAGCAACTTCTGTCTGTAGGAACTGAGCCCAAGAACATAACATGTAGGGTATGCTGGATGTCATGAGAGACTTTCTCTCCTCATGGATGATGTTAAGGTCCTGGAGAAGAGCCCTACTCCTCACCCTACCCCGGGGTCCTTCGTGTGTCCCCTGCCTGTCCTCCCCGCCCTCATTCTCCAAGATGGGGTTTTTCTGGGCTAGCTTAGTAGGCCTTTTCTGGCCTAACACTATTCAAACCACCTTTGAGGGCTGGGGTTTAGTTCCCCAGGTGACAGCAGAAGACTGGAGAGTCTTCACAACGTTTCACATGCCTTCAGATGGCTTCCACATCTGGCTGAGTTCTTACTTAAAGCTTTGTTTTCCAGTTCATGTAGAATGCAGCGCCCCGGAATTTCGATGTGAGAACAGCCAGTGCATCTCGAACTCTCTGCGCTGTGATGGGAACCGAGACTGTGTGGACCACTCCGACGAGGACGGCTGTCCTGGGGCCTCGCCGCTGCAGTGCCCGTTGGGGGAGGTGAAGTGCCAGGGGAGTGGAGAGTGCGTGCCCGCTGCATGGCTCTGTGACCGGGACTTTGACTGTGAAGACGGGACCGATGAGCAGGTAGCGCACCCTTCTTCAGAAAAACTGATTTCTCCTCACAACCGCAACATGTGCCTTCCTTATAGAAAATGTGAGAAAACCCAAGAACAGAGAAGGCTCTCATCCCTACTGCCCAGAAAACCACTCATCATGACAACAAAGTGTCCAGAGTGATAAGAGCTCTTGTCGAAAGACAAATGTTTAAGAGGTTTTTATTGTAGGTTTGCAAGGGTTAGGTCTTCATGGCCGTGGTGTAAATGTCCCCCCAGAGATCTGCTCCGAAGCTCTGCCTCCCCATCACTGAGAAGTGCGCTGACCCTGCCACGCTGTGGGACATGCAGCCTGGCTTGAGTCCTGCTGCTTGCGTTTGACCTGAAGAAAGTACTAACTCCCTCATGTTCTTCCTCGTCTGTCAAATGGGTAGGAGATAGGCCTCGTGGTGCCTGAGGGGTTGAGAATGCATCTAAAGGTTCGGGGCTGTCAGCAGGGGCACAGATAGCCCCTCCCCTCCTCTAGTACATCCTGCCCCAGAGCCGAGTGTCCAAGTCAGGAGAGGTGCGAAGGATGCCGTAACGTTTAATGTGCTAGGGGCAGTTTTGAGATGGCAAAGGAATTCTTTTTTTTTTTTTTTAAGATTTTATTTATTTGAGAGAGAGAGAGCACGCATGAGCAGGGGCAGAGGGAAAGGGAGAGGCAGAGGGAGAAGCAGGGAGCCTGATGCAGGACTCGATCCCAGGACCCTGAGATCATGATCTGAGCTGAAGGCAGACGCCTAACCGACTGAGCCACCCAGGCGCCCCCAAGTGGCAAAGGAATTCTAAAGAAGGGTTCCAAGAGCACATTCTTTTTTTTTTTTTTTAAGATTTTATTTATTTTTATTTGAGAGAGAGAGAATGAGAGAGAGAGAGAGCATGAGAGGGGAGAGGGTCAGAGGGAGAAGCAGGCTCCTCGCCGAGCAGGGAGCCCGATGTGGGACTCGATCCCGGGACTCCAGGATCATGACCTGAGCCGAAGGCAGTCGCCCAACTGACTGAGCCACCCAGGCGCCCCTCCAAGAGCACATTCTTATGCCTAGATGTCTTAAATGAAGACGTCTTGGTTTGACAAAATAAGACCTTTCTTTTCACTTCACAGCCAGGTTCGCTTTACCCAGACCTCCTCACCTCAACTCTGGCTGCTGAAAACGTTTTTCTGAGTCTTGGGGCTTTCTCTGGCCTTGTTGCAGAAGGGACTCGAGCGTTGTCTTGTGAGCCAGGCTCGTTCTCCCTCCGAGAACCCCATCCTGGGCTCTGAGTGCGGGTGTTGCTGACCCAGTAACTGTCCCCTCAGGACTGTGACCCGGAGGAGCTTCGCTGTGGCCCCAGGCAGTGGTCCTATGCCGGCGGAGACCAGTGCGTGTCTGGCGTGTGGCGCTGTGATGGGCAGAGAGACTGTGAGGACGGCAGCGACGAGGCTGGGTGTAAGTGTGGGGGCGCCCATTGAAGGGAGGGGGCTTCCAGGGGCGCTGGCCGCTTGCTTCCTCTAGGCCTGAGAAGCCAGCTCAGCCAGCAAGTGCCACCAGCCCTGACATCCATTCCCTGACCAGGATGGAGGTGCCTGACTACATCCTTGCTGCGGGAGGGATGTTCAGGGTGGCGGGGAGCAGACTCTGAAAGTGGAAAGTCATCCTCTCCAGGCCCCCCCGCGAAGTGCCAGAGCTCTGAGTTCCAGTGCCGCTCCCACGGCTGCCTTGCCCTCCGCCTGGCGTGTGACGGGAAGGAGGACTGTGCCGACGGCTCCGATGAAGGTGGAACGTGCTCGCCGTCAGCATGCCGCCGAGCGCGGTGTCCCCACGCCTGCTACCAGTCCCCACACGGGTCTGTGAGTTCATGCAGCCAGGCTCACCAGCAGCTGTCAACTTGGTTCAGTGACGGGGGCAACCTCGTCAGGCAGGCTGGCCCCCACTGCTCGTGACGCCCTGAGTCTTAGGTGGCTGAGCTGTCCTGATCGGTCCTCTCGTGTCCGCGGAGCCCTTCCTGGCTCCTTCTGAGTCCCGTCAGGTTCCTTCCCTGTGTCGTGTCTCCTGGAGCTTTCCCACCCAGCCTCCAGAAGCCCCGCTGCTGTGAGCTCCGGGCGACACTTGGGACTAAGCCACACGTTTTTGTGGACGTCTCTTCCGTATGTGTATTTGGAATGTGACCTGCCCTTAAATCGAGGACTGCCCCGAGTTCTGGTCTAGCATTATTAGCTGGCTGAACATCGTGAACTTAACTCTGATGGGAAGGAGAAGGAAACAGTGTTCTGACGTCTGATCACGGTAACGTCTCTGTTGGCGGGCAGCCCGTTCAGTTCAGTCTCCTTGCCTCTTATCGATTCTGCTGGGGTTCTAGGCGTCCTGGGCTGAACTTGGATCCCTTCGTTAACTCAGGACCCACGGTGGTGGCCAGGGTGTGAGGTGTGCAGCAGCGTTGACAAGACTGAGAGAATGATGGTATTTTAAGTGAAATCGGTTCTAAGAACTTTTTTGTTTTGAGCTGCTGAAATCAAGCTCATCGCCATGTGCTTTTAATAGCAAGGTCAGGCCTTTTCGTCAAGGTTATGTCTCAGTGTCTTCAGGAAGTCTTAATGTTTTTGAAACCCATTCAGGTATGTGCTTGTGAGCAAGACTTCGAGCTGGGGAGCAGTGGCCAGGTCTGCAAAGATGTGGACGAGTGCGAGAAGCCGGGTAGTCAGCCTTGCAGTCAGACCCGTGTCAACACCCAGGGCTCCTACAGCTGCACCTGTCACCCTGGCTACTCGCTGGAGCCCGATGGCCACACCTGTAAAGCAACAGGTAAGCTGGAACCGGGATATCTCCTAAGCCCTGGGTCAGGAACTTCGAAGTCCTGAATCTCCCAGGAATACAAATGCAAACCTTCTTTCTCAAGTCTTAAATGCTCCCGCCTGCTTTCTGTCTGCCGAGCAAGCCTAGCACATTCTCCAGATCCCCTTTTTAAAGGCAGCAGTTCAGATGGAATTAGATCTGAAGGTGTCGACAGATAAGCCATCATGATGACAGAACCACGACTCTGGTTCCTGTAGCCACAGGTCAGCCTTACCTCAAGTTAGAATAAATGTCAGAAGTCTTGATAAGCCCTTCTTTCTAGCCCGCCTAGGCTTACATACTTAGTTAGAAATGGTTTTTTTTTTTTTTTTTTCCAATTTATGCTACTCATGCCTTGATTCTAAGTATCTTTAAACTGTGGGTATTAGCACAAGCATCACATTGAGGGGAGAAGCACCAGCCGGCTGGTGTCCCAGGCCTGGCAGTGAGAAGGCAAAGACTACTTTGTTCTCTTACTCCTTAGCCAGGGCTCAGTTCAACGTTCAGGCTCCGTAAGGCCACATGCTGAACACAGTTCTTATCTGGCAGGTACTGAACCAATCTTGCTGGTGGCGCTTCAGTTCAACCTCCTCCTCTATGGCTTGAGGAGCTTGAAGGAAGACATTCTGGCAACTGTAGACAAGAACGTGATGATTTTCTCTATTGACTATGACTTAGTGGGGCAGAAGATCTTCTGGACTGATCTCGATGCAGAAAGCATTAAGTGGATAAGTATGGACACAAAGAAGAAAGGGACCGTGGTGAAGGGTATGTGCCCTGTGTGGGCTTCATCCTGCCCTCATGAATGACACATAACATGAAAAATGGCCATTAACATTCTAAACATTGATTCAGTGAAATCTTCTTAATTAAAAGGGACCAAGGCCTGCTAGTGGGCTAGAAATGGAAAGCTGCATTGTTACCTCCGTAGACCACGCGAGTCAGCCAAACTCTCAGCCAGTGGCCGTTATTTCTAATGGTCATCTTCCTCCACAAATAGAACCTTGGAGGAACTTAAAGATTGCTCTGATGGAGATGCGTATACAGTTGTAAAATGAATTAACATGGTATTCAAGTCAGATGCCTATGAGCTGAAACCTAGTAAAAGCTGTAATGTAACCTAGATCCACGTGGTGAATGGTTTCTGCTCTCTCTTCAGGGATAAAGTCAGACTGTATAGCGGTCGACTGGATTGGGAGGAACCTCTACTGGGTGGATGGGACAGCTGGCCAGATTTTGGCAGTTCAGCTGACCACTGTGTGGAGAGGAAAATCCGAGCACACGATTGTCCTAGATGATGACTTGACTCAACCGCGGTCTTTGGCTTTAGATTCCCTAAATGGGTGAGTCTGGGGGTCAAAATGCCAGTCAAGTCTGGTGCTATTTTGGTTGTGTTCCCTCAACACAGAATGAGTAAAAAAAAAACCTATCTGACTTGACTTTAAAATCTTATGGTGATGTGGGTCAACCATACGTATAGTAATCTTAAAAGCTTCTGATAAAAGTTCTTTATTTCAGTGAGGTGAGATGTAGGTGTTCTCACTTGGTGGCCCACCTGTACTTTCTTCTGTGAAAATAATTCTCCATTCAGAGGTATATTTTTTTATGGCTTTAAATGGCAGGAGGAAGGAGAATGGAACTAGGGATAGGATGTATTTTTTTTTAAGATTTATTTATTTGAGAGAGAGAGAGAAAGTGCAAGCAGGGGGAGGGGCAAAGAGAGAATCCTCAAGCAGGCTCCCCACAGAGTGCAGAGCCCGACGCCTGGCTTGATCCCAGGACCCTGAGATCATGACCTGAGCTGAAATCAAGAGTCGGATGCTTAACTGACTGAACCACCCAGGCGCCCCAGGGTAGAGTTTAATTTACACTAACATGCTTGGTAGTAGTGGTGGAAATAATTGTGTGTTGTGGTTGAATCTAGGTTCTTGATCCAGAGTCCTTTCTCTTTGGAAAAGGCCAGGAACTTAGAGACAACATTTCCTAGCTGTCAGAGCCAAGCCCTCATTGGCGTGGCCATGTGTGTGTCAAATGTAAGAACAAGATGGAGCAAAACTTAGGACCGAAAGGTGACCCAGATTGGGTATGCTCTATCTGCTTTTCTCACCTTTTCAATGCCTACAACCAGGAATCTGTTACCATGGTCCTCAGAAAATTGACAGTCGTTTCTGAGGCATCTAATGGCCTTGGCTGTGACCAGTATTAAGGTCCGAGGTGCACATCTTCCCATAGAACCAGCCTGCTCTCTCTAGCCCAGGAGAGACTGGCAGGTTCCCTGGCTATTTTCCAGGCCCAGGAACTACTGTATTCCTTGGCTGCTTATAGCTGTCATGATATTTTATCCCCAAGTGATGACTAAACAAGCATCATAAGATTTCAAGGGAAACTCTCTTTTACTTCACAGTGTCACTTAAGGAATAGACCAAGTTTGAGGAAAAAATAATTGGGTTAGAAACCAGTGGTTTAGGGCGCCTGGGTGGCTCAGTTGGTTAAGCGACTGCCTTCGGCTCAGGTCATGATCCTGGAGTCCCGGGATCGAGTCCCACGTCGGGCTCCCTGCTCAGCGGGGGGTCTGCTTCTCCCTCTGACCCTCTCCCCTCTCGTGCTCTCTGTCTCTCATTCTCTCTCTCAAATAAATAAATAAAAAATCTTAAAAAAAAAAAAAGAAATCAGTGGTTTAAGGGATGAATCGATATTGTCTGTGAGGCAATACTTTAAAGCTGACTTTTATCCGCACAGGTTAATGTACTGGTCTGAAATTGGAGGAGAACCTCAAATAGAACAAGCTGGGATGGATGGTAGCAGCAGAAAAATCCTCGTCAGTCAAGGTCTTGGCTGGCCAACCAGCCTGGCTCTCGACCGGTTGAGCTGGCAGATATTCTGGTCTGATGACAAATTTCACTGTATCGGCTCTGCTCATCTGGATGGTACTGGAGTTCGTGTGAGTATTCCTTGGTATTAGGCTGTGTGTGATGTCTTATGCCTTGTACAAAACTCATCCCAGAAACCTCATCATCCCCATTTTAGATGTTGCAGCTAACGCAAATCAAGCGCCCCTTTTCAGTCGCTGTGTTCGAAGATGAAGTCTTCTGGTCTGAGATGAAGACGCGAACAGTACAGCGCATGAAGAAGACCACAGGCAAGAACAGAGCTGTCCTCATCAAGCGTTCCCAACAGCCTCATGGACTCAAGGTCCACTGTGTACTCTTCAAAATATCCCCCTAATTCTCCCGGAAAAGGCTACGTGTATGAGCTTCCCAAGTACAAACTGTAGTGACCTCCTTCCATCATGATTAAAAAGCAAGATTTATTCATTTGCTGTTTGTAAGGATTCAGGAATGCATAGTGACATCCAGCTACTCTCTTGCAGATAATGCACGAAGTGCTCCAGCCCAAGTCTCCTAATCCTTGTCTGGACGCTGGCTGTTTTCACTTGTGCCTTCTGAGCCCGCGATCCAAGGGGAGCTGTCATTGCCCAGTGGGACTCCTGCTGGCGGATGATGGCATCACCTGTGTTCCGCTCGAGGAGTCTGCATTTCTGTTCCTCGTGTTGCCCACAGTTATCATGCAGGTACTCTTCCGTAGCCTTACTCACATGTCTGTGCCTGGGCTGTGGTCTGTTTCAGAACTGAGTAATTAGAATTCTCCAGGCACAGTGATATATAGTAAGGGCCCTGGCCCTTGGAGTAGTCTTTTTTTTTAATTTTTTAATTAATCCTTTTAATGTAATCACTACACCCAACGTCAGTCTCAAACTCACAACCCTAAGATCAAGAATTGCATGCTCTACTGATCAAGCCAGCCAGGCGCTCCCCCGCCCCCCCCCCCAGAATATTCTTCAAAAACAACTTAAATTTTAGTATTTACTGTGTGCTGGGAGCTATCGTGACCAAAATAAAGGGGCTATGTGCTAAAGACTCCTTGAGAACTAGTATGCCAGAGCTAGGTTAGGGATCTGAGATATGGTTCATCTAGTGTAGTTGTCCAAGCATCTCACTGATGATATAGAGTAGTTCTAAATCCAAGCAACTCAACTGGGTTCTAGCCTGGTGAGGGGGAAGTACATTTTATGAGGGAGCTTTTCTTAAGTCATAGGAGATACCAACAAACAAGTCACTTCTAACTTCTACTATATAGAGGACTTATCAACTTGGGCACTTTAAAATGACAAATGTTGGGGTTGGAGGATTGACTTCAGTTTCAGTAAGATACTACTAGTAGAGTTTCATTTAAAGGCGAGGGCCTTTCATATATAAATGTAGCCAAACAACACATTGTACACCTTAAACTTAGACAAATGTTATTATGTCAATTATAGCTTAAACACTTACAAAAGAAAGGGGAGGGCATTTAACAAAGGAGTCAATCTCTGAAACATGTGGATTCAAGGACTTTTGGGTGCTTAAAACTCTAGGAAGGGAGAGAAATAATGGCTATCTCTTTTTAGATGATAAATTCAGGTTTTCATATATTCTAAATATTGTCACATTAATGCAAAATTAAGATGAAGAATTACACTAGATTCAGCTGGTGCCATCCACCTAATTTTTTTCCCCATAGATTTATCTGAAAAATCTAGAAGCTTTACTAGGATAACCAACTTTACCCGAACATAGGATACTTCCCTTTACCAATGTGAAACAGCTTGCATCCCTGGACTACATAGTCCAGGAAAAGGCTCTCTACCTTTCAGAGTTGGATAATGGTTATATCAGGCTATTGAGGCTCAAAGAATCTGGAAAACTCTCTTGGAGGAAAATCATACCTGTGGAGGGAACAGTGATCGGCCTTGCTGTGGACTGGTTGAGTGGAAACATATATTGGATTGACAGTGAGAATCCTCACATCAATGTAGCTTCCTCAAAAGGCCAGTATCCCACTGTCCTGGTCAGTGAAAATCTCTACCGCCCAACCTCTGTTGCGCTGCACCCACCCTCTGCAGTCATGTGCTTTGTGGACCTGGGTGCCCAGGATGATGGTAGGCGTGGGTCCAGCATTGAATGTGCCTCCATGGACGGCAGCAGGAGGAAGGTGCTGTGGCAGAAATCCCAGGTCCCTGAGGGCCTGACCTTTTCGGATTCAGGAACCCGAGTTTACTGGGCTGATACTGGTAAGCAATTATAACACACCCTAACCGTGAGTCTGAAGGACTTTGACCAGAGTGAAGTAGTGACGTTCTGCTTTCTGGTCTTCAGCCATGACTTCAAACAGCTTTTAGGTCTGAGTTTGCATATTCTACACCACCTTCCAAACAAACCCAGTGATTCCCCATTCTGAGTAGAATGTAATAGCCCGAAGAATCATACAGGTGTCCCTTTGTGAAGGAATAAAATCGAGAACTTAACAAATGTGCATGAACAAATCTTTGGTGTATCACTGCTAGAGTAGAGTGAATGAAGAACTGTCCTTCAGAAAACACATGGTAGACAATGTCCTCCTGGAGGGGAGGCAAGACAAGATGCAAAGAGCTGTAGGATAGAGTGGAGCTGTGCAGGCTAAGTGAAATTAACTGAGCCTCTCTTTCCAGGGAGAGGACTCAGAGAGAGTATTCAACAAGATGGCTCTAGATACAGAGTGGACCGCAGAGGAATTGAGGGCCTTACCCTCCTTACATTTGGCCAAGGCATGATGTTCTGGATGACAATTGACGATGGTAGGTCTTATTCAACGTCTGATTGTCTTTGTGATCTGAATTTACTCTTGGGTCTCTAAAGCGAATCTGCTAATGCCTAGCACTGATCTTTGGCAAGGTCTTTCTTCTGGAAGAATAATTAAGCAACTTCCCTAATCTAACATGTATGTGTAACAGGGATTCTATGACTTGGGGAAGCTTTGACTTATTTGGTCGTTCTTTATCTATGAAGATGCTTAATCCTGTTCTGCCTGAGATTTCTGGCTTTCATCTGAGGTGCTCTTCTTTAGACATTGTGATGTGGTACCGAGAGAACTGGGCCAGGAATTGGAACCACGTAGTGTAACTGCACTGTCAGTAGCTATAACAGCTTACCTGTAAAATGAGGACAGTACTTGTCTCACTTGACCCAGTATATACACATATAAAAATACTGGGTGAACTACAGAATATTCTGTACTTGCAGGGTATTACTAGTATTTAAAGAGATTTGCCTAAACAGCAGTGTTGTAGTATGTTGTTTCTGGCTAGAGTCTAGATTTGGTGAAACTGGAAAATGCTATTTAAAATCTATCTCTTTAATATTTCCAAACGCTGGTCCATTGACCAGTTGGGCACAATTGCAAAAACAAGTTGTCAGATCCTACCCTCAGAGGTGCTAATTTATTAGGTATGTGGTGAGACCTTTGCTAACTTTTAAAATCCACTGGTGACACTTATTGCAGAAAGCCATTTTCATATATGTTCTAGAACAATGTTTAAAATCATTACCTATCATTTGCATGGACTACATTTAGGTGTCTCATGTCCTAATTATCTATCTTTGTATATCTGGATGTATATGAATGCTCAACATAACTTACACTTGACTTTATTTTAGAGGAAGGCATAGAACTAGTTTTCTTTGTCTTGAAATTTCTTCCCAGAAAAAAAAATTTAGAAAAACACATTTCTCTTCTGCAAAACCCTTGTTATTCAACTGGAGTTTCTGCAGATGGGTGACGGTTTTCATAGTGAGCAATTTTCTTTGCACAGGAAGTTGTCTTAAAATTAAAATTTGCTTTTCTTAAAAGTATTTAAAATTTGCTTTTCTTAATGATTGTTCACTGGCTTTTGTTTCAGCCCAGATCACTAAAGTTTGGTACAGCAAGGCAGAACTTTCAGAAAACCAGTGGTTCCAAATAGACCAGAAGATTGTGGATTTAAAAGTTTATAGTAAACTTCGTCAACAGGGTAAGCAACTTTGCAATGATTACAACAACACTGAAGCCTGCTGAATTTCCCTGTGAAGGGGAATATCTCCTTGAAATGGCTTTGTATTTCCCACTAAATTATTTCTCTGGCAAGTTCTTACAGATCTGCATAACTCTCTTGTCTTTATGCAGTTATATATAGTATAGTTCTGGTATGTAATGAGTCCTGTTACTTTTCTAGGAGACAAAACAGTGGTAAATATTTGGGGCTGGAGTTTGGTATAATTTTAAGTTCTATTGTAGATGGAATTCATCTGTGGTATAATTGAAATTGCCTCTCAGCTCTGCAGTGGAACTAGTCTTTATTCTACTTATTGTCACTTGTATCTACTTGTGATGTTAACTAATCCTTGAAATACCAACTTGGGGGTACTCAGATGTTTTTCTCCAATGTTTGAGTAGAGTGATGATGGGCTTAGTTAAAGTAATAATATACAGTCTTTTCCTACTCAAGATGAACACGAACAATGTGAGCTCAAATGTTAACCACATCTACCACTACCATGGATGTTGAGTATATTGGTCTTAACGGCCATGTAGAGTATATTGGTCTTAAGTGAATGCTCCTCCATTTCTTTGTTTTGGAAAGCTAAACTTTGTAAACTAGTGTTAGTCATGCTTAAATTTCTGAAGTCTTGGCTTTTCGGAGAGAACCTTCTTCAGTGTGATTAATCATCCAAGTGATGATAATCTGTGGCTTAGTTCTGAGAGGCAGAAGGAGGGTCCTTGCCACTCTTGAGGTCCATTTTATCTGCGCTGTATATATACCTATTCCACAATTTCTGGAATATCTCAAAATAAGACCTTACTAGAAGTTAAAGATCTGAGCCTTGCAGAGCCACGGTCAGCTATAAATGGCTGACTTACTACTCAGATTCTTAGGGATAATAGACACCACAGCCTTCATGTTTTCATCTAAAGAGAGTTTTATTTCTGAGACCCTTCTAGTTTTGATGTTGGGTGCTTGGTATGAGGGGAAAGGAGAACTCACAATGGGGTCTTGGATGGGCCAGAGTTCAGATCAATTTTTATTAAGCTGGTCCCTTGTTTGAACTCCCAGCCTTCTAAAGCCATCCTTACCCATGAAGAAGAATCACCGATCACTTGGTACCTTGTTGACCAAAAGGAGTTAAACTGAAAAGCTATCCACTCTGGAAAAAACGGTTGGGTCCTGTAACTGATAGCGTATTTATAGAACATCTGCAAAAGACCCTTCTGAAACCATCTAAATCAATGGGTTTTTTTGGGGGTCGATCCACAGGTAGTAACAGCTGCTGAAAAGACAATGGAGGCTGCCGCCATGTGTGTTTACCCAACCCTGAAGGAGTGACTTGTAAATGTCCCAGTGGGCCCTACTTGGCTAACATAAGCCAATGTGTTGAAACTGTCCCATGCTCTGAGCCGTCCCAGTCCTGTAAGGATGGTCAGAAGTGCATTTCCATGGAGCAAGTTTGTGATGGTCATGCTGACTGTCTGGATGGATCTGATGAGCTGAGCTGTGAGTAATTCCTATCTAGGAGCCCACTGTTCATCACCATATATGATGTACTTTGAATATTTAATGAAATAATTCTTAATATCTCAATCTAATTCTTAATATCTAGTTATATAATATTCCTGAAGCTTTTATCCTCTTAATCATTGCCTTTTATTACTGGCATTTTTAAACTGAACAACATAAAACTTCTAACTATGGGCAATTGGCTATAGATTACATGGACGCCTTCTGGAAAGCTAATGTGCTCTCTGATTCAGTTTTAGAATGGGCAATATGATAGCTCCAAAGGGCTCAACAGTTTGTATGTTGTCTGAAGTAGCACTTATTTAACTAGATTTGATTCTGTCCATTTAAATTGATCACATAGTGAGCATAGCCCAGGAGGAGGGGGTGGGGTAAATGATTTAACCTGTCTTGGTTCAGTTCCCCCTTTATAATATGGAAATAGCACTTTCTAGGGGCGCCTTGGGTGGCTCAGTCGTTAAGCATCTGCCTTCGGCTCAGGTCATGATCCCAGGGTCCTGGGATCGAGCCCCACGTCGGGCTCCCTGCTCCGCGGGGAGCCTGCTTCTCCCTCTCCCAGTCCCTCTGCTTGTGTTCCTGCTCTCGCTATCTCTCTCTGTCAAATAAATAAATAAAATCTTAAAAAAAAAAAAAAGAAATGGCACTTTCTAACTCAAAGAGTTACGGAATACAAGAGAGTGTGAATAGAACTGCCATTTTAGCACAGACCATTGTCAAGTGACTTCCTAAATGCTGGCTAGTAGATGGTTGTTACAGAAATGCTGCTGCCGGATACCGCCTTCATGGAGGGGTGTTGTCATGGCCAGTCAGCTGAGCAACTGTGATATCCAATTCTCTGGTAGTCACTATCCTCAAATTCTACACTACTCCAGTGGTAGCCAAGTCATGTAAACCATGGAATTGAAGAAACCGTGGGCTCAGCCCCGAGACTTGTCATAACTAGTAAGGAAACAAACTGGAAAAGGAATCTTACAGTGAAGAGTGCTTACCGACTTCTCAACTTAAATCCTCATCTTCCTCAAAGCTGAGGAGTTGGAATACAAGTTGTTCCCCCTAATGACTTCATCTTAAATACAAAAGTTAATAGATTTCGATTCCCAGAGTTGATTCTCATGAATGAGGGTGGTTTTCTCAGAAGCCCCATGTTATAGTGACACTAGGAGGCAGGTCAGTGAGTGAGAAATGGATCGCCGTCCCCATCTGGTTTTAGTTTAGAACTAAACCGGAAGCCTAACCCACCCTCACGTGCTCTCCCATCCTGATGACCAGGAGTTGGCTCTACTCCTCAATAAGTATTTCACGCTGACTTGTACATGAAACTTTTTCGGGGGGGATGGTACTGAGCATATAAAGCTAGACTGCCTTCCTCTGTATATACCCAACTGTCAAGGACACCAAACTGCCCAGGAGTGGAAATGCTCCTGTAACACCAGCTTGAGGCAGAGGCAGCGGGTGGTTTTACTGGTAACACTGCTGCCTTCCCTCCCCGTAGTCTGGTCTTTGGTATTTTCGTATGGAACGATGCTTACGCCAACAATGATGGGAGATAGGGTCTTACATGCAAACCTAACTCTCAGATTGTTGGTTAGAAGCATCCTGTTGCCTACTCCCTCCTGCCCATTACTACCACCAAATCTGGTCCAAGATTTGCAGCTTATAGATCTCGTGAAACCAACAGTTTACTTGGACTAAAAAAAAAAAAAAATTTACAGATAAACATACATCTTAAAAATCTTTCTAGATATTTACCACTTAGGCCTACCATACTATGCTTTATAGAAGAAAATATTCTTGTAGCTGAGGAAATCTGCCATGGCTAAAACTGGGCATACCATCATTTAAAAATAGAGTGGTATGATAGACTGGTCCCGAAACCAAACATTTTAAGTGCCTTAGGATATGCAGTTTTTTAAAATATGTTTTTAATAGCTTTTTGGTTGGCCAAAAGGTAATGGTAATGATTTGATGATTTCATAAATTCAAACTTATCTGGTTAAGTCTTCTAGAGTTCTTGTTCTTCTGAAATCCTTTTTAACTGACAACTATATGTATATACTCACACTCATACCTGTTTCTGTAGGTACCTATCCAGATAAAACCCATTCAACACCAACATCTAAAAATGCAGAGGATAGAAAAAGGTCGACTCCAAAAGCTGCCCTACCTCTCCAAGCTACCAAGTCCACCAAGGCTAGATATCCGGGTCCAGAAGGGATGAGTTATCCTGTCAGAAAAACATTAATCCCTCCAATTCCTGCTAGAGAAAGCAAGACCCCAGAAACCAAGGAAAAAGGCGAGCTTGTGCAGCCCAAGGACTCACAGAGGGCAAAACATCTGCCCTGTAGCACGGATTTCTGTAATGGGAGGGGAATCTGCACAATGGTAGGCGAGCTGAGGAAGTGCCGCTGTCCCGATGGAATATGGCGGGGAGTTCTGTGAAGAGCCAGCTCATGGACCTGCCCCTGGCTACATCGCCCTCAGCTTAACCATTGTCTTACCAGTTGTGCTAGTCGCTCTGGGAGCATTTGTCTGTTTCAGAAGGGAACACAAATTAAAAAGGTGAGCAGCTCTTAATGTCCTCATGGGAGAGTTCATTTCAAAGAAGGCTTATAGGATTAGTGGGGTTAGAGGTATGACTCTTCCCCTAAGAACCTGTCCTCTGAGGAAAGATTTAGGGGATGAAGCAGATGACCCGGAGAGACAACAGAGGCCACCTCTTTGAACCCCGGGACAAATGCTATTGTAAGGGATAGGAGGCCTTCGTGCAGGTGAAATCTGCCCCAGCAGCAGCCAGTGGCTCAGTTGCAGGGATGAAGTGATGGGATTCTTTACCAACGAGGCAGAATTCGTGCCAGTGACTGGAGAAAAAAATTCAGAGATGGGTTAGTTTGCCGGGGCTGCTATAACGAACACCACAGACTGGGTTTCTTATTTATTTATTTATTTTTATTCTTATGTTAATCCCCATACATTACATCATTAGTTTTAGATGAAGTGTTCCATGATTCATTGTTTGTGCATAACACCCAGTGCTCCATGTAGAATGTGCCCTCCTCAATACCCACCACCAGGCTAACCTATCCTCCCACCCCCCTCCCCTCTAGAACCCTCAGTTTGTTTTTCAGAGTCCATCGTCTCTCATGGTTCGTCTATCCCTCCGATTTCCCCCGCTTCATTCTTCCCCTCCCGCTACCTTCTTCTTCTTCTTTTTTTTTCTTAACATATATTGCATTATTTGTTTCAGAGGTACAGATCTGAGATTCAACAGTCTTGCACAATTCACAGCACTTACCAGAGCACATACCCTCCCCAGTGTCTATCACCCAGTCACCCCATCCCTCCCACCCCACCCCCCACTCCAGCAACCCTCAGTTTGTTTCCTACAATTAAGAATTCCTCATATCAGTGAGATCATATGATACATCAGACTGGGTTTCTTAAACAACGGATTTATTTTCTTCGTTCTGGATGCTGGGAGTCTGAGATCAGTGTGTCTGTGGGATTGGTTTCTCCTTGAATTATAGATGCAGACTTCTCCCTGTGTCTTCACATGGTCTTCCTCTGTACATGTCTGTGTCCTAATCTCTTCTTATGAGGACACCAGTCATATTGGATTAGGGCCCAAACTGATGAACTCATTTTAGCATAATTACCTCTTTAAAGACTCTATCTCCAAAAAAGGGTTACACTCTGAGGTACTCGAGAGTAGGCCTTCAACATACTAATTTGGAGGGGATACAACTCAGCCCATAGCAGGAGGTGAAATGAACTCGGGAAAGATTTAAAGCAAACACATTAAGTTTTGCCCGAGAGCAAGAGAGATTAAAGAAACAAACAAGAATAACAAAATGCTGGCTTAGAGTAGGAATGATGACAAAAGTGGTTTTAGTATAAGAAATTATAGTAACGGAAGACACTGATTAGGTTACACATGCTGGTTAGGGTCCACTCATATGCTGAGAAGGGACATTAGCAGCCTATGTATCGAAAAATAGAGAGACAGCTCTGTCCAGCACTCACAGACTGAAGAAAAAGGCGAGGAGAAATGGTGTATCTTTGGCCAAGGTAACCCTGGTTAATAGATTACTAATGTTAAGACGGACTGAAATGCCACCCATGGGGTTTTGATGGTCACCTCAGGTCTTTCTACCACATTAATCTGGTTTCTTAGCTCACCTGCATCCAATCGCCACTAACTTGTCCTTGGATTCTGTTCTGCTTAACCCCAATTAGTAGAGTCCCCCAGTTGAGAAGATGGATTATTTTGGAAGTTGAGTGAATGCCTAGTAACAAATCATAATTGACTCAAGTATCACCCGTTCTAGGTCATTTGATTCATTCAAAAGACAGAACATAATTCCCATAACAATAGCCTTTGATAGGGGTTGAGCTGGCCCTTTCCAACCATCCACCCATCCCAGCTTCAACCTCAAGGAACAACTCTTTTTTTTTTTTTTGGAACAACTCTTTTTGACTCTGTTTCTTTGATTCTTAGAAATAGTGCATCAGCATCAAAAAATTCGACCCGCCATAAAGAAAATGGCCAAGAAGAGGAGAATCTAATGAATAGTGAGACTTTGGTCAACGAAGCCTATGATGAGCAGGTATGCCTGGGAAGTGTCTTTGAGGAAAAGAGATTGTGAGATACAGCTAAAGAATGCCCCTTCTGAAAAATCCCAGCTGGTTGAAAGTAGGCAGTGTTAACTTACAGAGCTTTTTGTAATGGGTGAATGATGCTATTATGTGTATCAAATGAATTGTTCAGTAACTTGTTTATCTTTAGACTCTGTTCAATCTCTAGTTCAAACCCAAGTGAAATGCACATGAAATAGTAATCAAGACATTCAGCTGTTGATGAACTGCCACAAGGGGCTCAGTCCTATGGTGGGGTGGGATGTTATTAGGGTTAGTTGGAGTTACCCCTAAAATTATGTCCCCCTGTGATCTCTCCTAACCTCTCCATCACTCAACCACCTCTGTGTTTTGCTTTGTTTTAATGTAGTGTGTATTCAGGGGCATCTGACTGGCTCAGTCAGTAGAGCATGTGACTCCTGATCTCAGGGTCATGAGTTCAAGCCCCACATTGGGCATAGAGCTTATTTTTAAAAAATAAATCAATAAATAAGAATTAAAAAATATATATATATATTAAGGGGCGCCTGGCTGGCTCAGTCAGTGGAGCATGTGACTCTTGATCTAGAGTTTGTGAGCTCATGCCCCATGTTGTGTATAGAAATTACTTAAAAATAAAATCTTTAAAAACAAAACAAAGCCAAAAAAACTATCGTAGTGCATATTCTCTAACTTCAAGTCTCTTTTCCTACAGGAATTGTTAACTTTACAAAGTGACTAACCTGATAAAAAAGGAGCTGAAACATCTCAATAAAAATTGTTTAGACGTTGCACTGTGTACTGTTTTAACGTCTGTAACTATGTGCTGAAATGGTAACTTATTAAAATAACTGCTTTTTAAATTGGAGGAGGTCATCCAGGTGACTGAATAGTCACAGGCGGGGTCTGATTTCAGCACAGGCTCTGTGTGATTTAGGTTAGGGTTCACCTGCAGAAACTGTCGAATCCCAGCGTGCCTGGCCCAGTGCTAGTCAGAGGTTCTGGATTTGAATCTTGGCTCTGTCGCTAACTTTGAGGTGTACTTAATTGCTCTGAACCGGCTTCTTCATCTTACAGAAGGGAATGATCTCTCTTAAACCTTTACCTCTCAGGTAAAGGTCAAGTTTCTGCAGTGTAGCCAGTGTTCAAGTATTAGTTTTTTATCACTCCCTCTAGATACGTTTTATTACAAAGTTAGTACTCGCTTTTGTTGGAACTTTATAAAAACAGTTTTTCTTACACTCTCCTTTGATTCTAAAACTAAGTACAGTTGACCTTGAACAACACAGGTTTGAACTGCATGGGTCCACGTATGTGCAGGTTGTTTCAGTCAGTACGTACAATACTGTGAGTGTATTTTCTCGTGATTTTCTTAGTAATATTTTCTTTTCTCTAGCTTACTTTATTGTCAGAATATAGTATATAATACATATACAAAATATGTGTTAATCGACTGTTATGGGTAAGGCTTCTGGTCAACAGTAGGCTGTTAAGTTTTGGGGGAGTCAAGTTATATGTGGATTTTCTACTGCAGTGGGTCGGTGCCCCAACCCCTGTCTGCCCAAGGATCGACTGTACAGGTGAATCCACTTTACTGATCTAGAAACTCAGACAAGTGATTTGTTTAAGACTTGAAGTCAAGTGGGTAGACACTGGGAGCCTCAACATAGCGTTGCAGGTATGGACTGGGGTTCATCTTAATGAGCTCTTGCCTGCTGGGGAAACACGCAGATGCTACTTAGATCCCAGACTCCCTTTGACCCTCCAGATGACATCTTATTTCATACTCTTAGGTAAGGAATCAAGGGCACTGAATTTGTGATGGGAGATGGGTGACAGGAGTGTTGTCTAAAATTCAATAGCAACCTTGGGCAAATCACTTAATCATGAAACTGTTTCCCCAATGAGAACAAAGGATCAACAGAACCTACATCAAGCCAATGGATCACTGCTTGAAAATACAAAAATGCCTGTGCACTGCTTAGTGCATGGGACCAGAGGCTGAGAACCTAAGTCCAAATTGTAAGCACGACTTGACTTGGAAGTCTTTTCTTGCTTGGATTTTTTTCTAGACTCTTCATAGTTTCTTGCAGAATGCGTTTGTGTAGGCTACCAGGCGTAAAGAGAAATCCTAAGCTTATTACTGTCGGTATGGTACATAAAATCGACTGTGCTTTGCAGTCAAGTATAAAAATTCCCAAGCACAGATCAATGTGACCGGAAAAGCAAATGCTGGCGGCTCCGCCCTTCCTGAGGCTGGGAGACACACGACCGGGAGTTCAGCTTCCTCCCGCGCTTAGCTGTGTTTGAGAGAAACCCTTTCAGCACCGGAGCGCCTGAGACCCCTCTCCGCCACAGAGGGACTCTTTGGTTTCCCTTGCCACCTCTCCCAAGAACCATCTCCCGGCCAAGCTGGCCCTTGGCAAGGCTCTCCCTCCATCTGCGGAAAAGTGAGTAAAAAAGACATGCGAGTCTGGCTTGAAAACATGCACGAATGACAGTGCAGCAGCATTATCACTTTGTCCAGATACACGTTAGCTGTCGCCTTCACCTCCTTCACACCCTAAGCCTCCACCAGCCTTCCAAGGCTAGAGTTCCGGCTAGCTCCCGACTTCCGACTTCCGACTTCCGACTTCCGGGCTCCCGCAGGCCCCGCCCCACCTTCTACTCTGCAAGCCCCGCCTCCTGGTTAGGCCCCAGACACATTCACCATTTCCTCTTCCGGGGAACAGCCAAATCCGTGGGTCACGTAAGGCTCCCGTTCCCTCTACTTCCTGCCCTGGCTTAGTTATGTCTTTTCCTATCCTTGGTCTCCTGTGAATGCATACCTAAGTATTATCCCACTTGAATCTAGTTTAATGCATCCTGTTATGCTTCCCCAATTCAGGAATTTACAAGACACCTCTGAACGTCCTTTTCACTGGAAAGTCTTAAGTATAAAGGTGCAGTACCCATTCATAAGATTAACAGTCCCTAGGCACCCCTGCCCCCAAAATTGGCTTTCATATGTAAGTTACATAATCTTATCTGTTTGGAGCAAAGGCATGTTAACTGTAAGAACCTTCTTTTGTGATGATCTCAGTGTCAGGTGTTAATTTCTTAATTTCTCTCCACCTAAACAGATGAAGCAGTAAATCCCATAGCAGATGTAAAATTTGAATTTCTTTATAGAAACTCAACATCTGTAACCTGGTGGTAGGTCTGGGTTTTCTTCTAGAGGGACAAGGAGCTTTAGAAAAGTTCATTGGTGGGGGCACCTGGGTGGCTCAGTTGGTTAAGCCGCTGCCTTTGGCGCAGGTCATGATCCCAGAGTCCTGGGATCGAGCCCCACATCGGGATCCCTGCTCAGCGGGGAGTCTGCTTCTCCCTCTCTCTCTGCTGCTTCCCCTGCTTGCACTCTCTCTCTGTCAAATAAATAAAATCTTAAAAAAAAAAAAAAATAGAAAAGTTCATTGGTTCATGCTTTAGGTTCAAAGAGCCCTATGCAAAACTTGACCTTTTAGGTTTCTAGCTAGCAATTCAGTTAAACTCTTGATACTTACTCGTTTTAGGAAACAAATGGGGGAGAGATCATTGATGATGGGAGAGATGCACCACATTGCTACTATTTTAACTGCTGGAAGGCTTGTGAAATTCAGAGAAACCAGGATCTAGAACTCGGAGCTTGTTGCCATCAGATCAGTTACTATATTTACAGATCAGTCTGCTTCCTCAGCCTTCACTGTTCACGTTTACTTCTCTCCTCTCAGCCTCATCTAATTCTTAAACTTCACTCTTAAGATATTACATTTATTCTTTTTTAAAGATTTTATTTATTTATTTGACAGAGAGAGAGACACAACAAGAGAGGGAACACAAGCAGGGGGAGTAGGAGAGGGAGAAGCAGGCTTCGCGCTGAGCAGGGAGCCCGATGTGGGGCTCCATCCCAGGACCCTGGGGATCATGACCTGAGCCAAAGGCAGACGCTTAATGACTGAGCCACCCAGGCGCCCAAGATATTAAATTTAGAAAGGCCCTGTGACCACATCTAACCCGTCTTCCCACTTGTACAGATGAGAAAACTGAAATCCCACAAGGGCAGGGCTTCCGCTATTAGAAAGCCTCTGTCCCCCAAATTCTAAAATTGCAGTGGCCCTCAGGCCTGTGATGAGTGGCAGCTCTTTGGGAGGCACCGGTGGTGGTTGGAGAGAGCCATGGCGGGGGCATTTGTCGCGTGAAGAGCAGAGGCGCTGGGTACCTGTGAGTGCACCTGCTGGTCCCCGCCTGGACCTCACGCTGGTTTATGCGCTCGGCTGCACCCACTTGCCTGTCGGAGGAGGTGTTGGACAGGCCGGTGGGACCAGAGGGCAGCGGAGTTGTCTTTAACGTGGGTTTTAACCCTCCTCAACACACGCCAAACTGGAGAAGCAAGCCCCTCGTCAGCCTTTCCCCCCACCACGCCCTCCACCCCAAAGGCCTTGTCTGTAGTTTCCTTGATTCGGACAAAGGTCCTTGTTTTCCTGGGTTCAGCCCTGTGCGATGGAGATTTGCTGGAGGGGGTTATTTAGCTGCACGTAGTGAGGAAAGAGAGGAATGTACGTGGAGGCCATTGGGAAGATTGGATGAGAACTGCATGCAAGTTTGGTTTTTTTCCCTGTCCCGGGCCCCTCACACAAGTTTTTATTTGAAGTCGTGATGGTGTCTCTCATTTTGTTCCCCTCACATCCAAAACCTCTTCTGTGATGTGTTAGTACCAGTTGCGTTGGACTGGTCTTTGCCAGCCGATCATAGCCCAGTTCACAAAGTTGCTCCTGTGGCCCATTCCCCCCACACCCCGCGTCAGTGCACCTCCACCCCCGTAGGCCCGTGGCCTCGGGCCACGAATGACTCCCTGTACAAGTCAAGTTGTGTATAAGGCGAGGAGGCACTTAGGGTACAGAAACAGATTTTAGAGGTAATTTTAACTTAGAAAATTCTAACAGGCCCTGAACAAGTGTTAATACCCATTTGGGGACTACAAAGATACATAGAAACCAGCACGTCCTTACCTTCAATCTAGAGGTAAAACAGGAAAGTACATCAAGAAAATGCCACACTTGAACACAGGAGTGATATGTTCCAATATGACCCCTCGAAGCTGATGGGAGAAAGTCGCCATTTAGGGTGTGTGGGGGGTGATCACATAGGCCTTGGCCAAGCCATGAATGGCACTTGAGCTGAGAGTGGATGGCACATAAGGAAGGTCCCGAGGCTTTTAAAGACATGATTGACAGGCCTTCATTTTCAGAAGGTGGGATTGAACGTATGGGGTGGGTATGGGGGCGAGATCCACAACTCTGGGGATGTGATGAGACCTGGAGATTTGCATTTCTCTGCCTACCGCACCCCGTGGGCTGTCTATACGTTGACAGAATAGGATGTTCCTCATGAGGTAGTCACAAGTCACATTGTTTATATTTGATTCCGAAAACATTCTATAAAAGGCTGACTTTGTGCCAGACTTCATTCCCTCCTCAAGAAGCTCTTAGCCTGACAGAGGGTAGAGGGCAAGATTTTCCCAGCCACACTCAAAGACACTGCTAGCTTCTTCCAGTCCTTAGCAGCCAGTTCTAGAGCCCAGAAGAAGCAAAACATGCTGCTGGTGCCAGGCCTTCTGCGCCATCACTGTTCTCTGGGCCTGGAATGTGCCCCTCTCCCTTCTTTCCATTCTCTGCTCAAGCATCTCCTCCTTCCTGACCACCTTTCCTAAAATACCACGCTTTTGTCCTCCAGCCCTTGTCCCTGGTCTGTTACTTGTCATTTTCCTTGTACATAGCTCTCAGGCTGTGCTTGGGCGTGTAAGTTCCCCAAAGGCAGAGCCGGAATGGTGGCTTCCCAAGGTGTCCACAAATGTGCTGACAAAACGACAGGTGTCCCCATACCTACTGGCTGGATGATTTATGCAGTGAAGAGGAGAGGGGTCGAGAAGCATCTCTGGCAGCACCTCCTACCAGGGTCTGCAAAGGTTCAACAGCTTGTGTGCTAAGAACGTCACCCCTCCTTAGTGAGGGCTTCTAGATCAGAGCCAGACTGGCCAACAGGCAGAGCAGGAACCCTGTGAATGCTGAGTCTGCCCTACTTTCACACATTCCTCGGTCCCTGCAGGCAGTCTGAGTAATCTTGAGAAGACTTCGCCCATTAATTGGGGACACATACTTTGTATGTGATTGGGATCATTAACGACAGGTTGTGATGGTGCAAGGGGGCAGGGCTGTTCCCCATCAGTGTCTTCCCCGTGGGGAGGTTGCCTGGCTAGTCGGTCGGTATTCAGTTTAGGGTAAGTTCACGCCCACAAGAGAGGCTCCGGAGGCTCCCGCCTGGTCCAGCGTCTTGCGTGTCAAAGTCATTGTGTCTCTGTGCTGCTGGGGCACAGAATGACCCGTGTGCCCAAAACAGACCCCAGCCTGACGCAGGAGTGCCTTGCCGTGCTGTCTTGAGTATTTTTATAGCAAAAACCAGTTTGCATTTTTTAAGGGAGTTTTGGTTTCGTTTCTGTTGCTAGGGCAAAAACAGAGCTCTCATTCTCGACAACCAAATCCTTAATCAGCAGAGGTGGAGTGTTCTGAATATAAGCCACAAGAGGATAATTGGGCAGGGAGGAAAAGTAAAAACACACAAAACACTAGTTTTGTTTTTACCCAGGCCTCCCTGAGAAATATTTGGAATTATCATGCAGACAAGATTCAGTAGATTCGGTACTTGCTAGGAACTCAGTCTCTTTGTTTGTTGTTGGCTAGGTCCTGACTTCCCAGACCCCTATCCCTGCCTTTGGAGGTGTTAACTGACAAACCAGGGTTGCCTTTTCTCCATCTGGTTCTGTTCCCTGGAACAAGTGCCCTAGCTCATCGAGGCGGCAAGCTCTCAAAGGTCTGATTCTCTGCCTCCAGTCGGGGTTGCAATTTGAGCGAGGCATGTCCCAAGGAAAGTCTTGCAGCCCCAAGTGGGGGCCAGGAACCATCTGCTCTGGCTCCCTCCTGGGAGTGGGCTAGGAAATCAGTTTCAGGCCTCACTGCAGACCTACTCAATGAGAATTTGCATTTGAAAGAGATCACCGGGTGATATGTCTGCACTTTAGGGTTTGGTCGCAAAAAGGTAGAAACGGGTGATTCCGGTGTAAAAATAATAGTGTATCTGTACTATTCCTTCCACTGCTAATGAGTAGCGTGTGCTCTTTAGTTGGTTCTGCTATAGCTCTCTGTTATCGGTGCTTACTGAACTGAACGTTCCTACCTCTGCATTGGCTGCCAATGGTAGGTTTTAAAAGATGAAATTCAACTCAGTGAAAGGCACGCGTAAATCAACCAACCCCTTGAAATTAGAGCGGGCCCTGCCTGAGATTTAGTTCCCTTCTGGAACACAGAGCTGCCTACCTGTGATTGTAGGCTCCACTGTTTACAAGAGGAAAAGATCTCCAGTCTCACTTCATGTTGGAAACTGGTGCTTCTAGTTTTTTCAACAATAGACTTGGCTTTGCCCAGAAAACAGAGCACGAACTTGAAAATAAAGCAATCAGGGATTTAAGTGGGGCCCGTTGGCTCCTTTTAGTAATCTTATGCTAAAGAGGGGCAAAGATCTGAGTGCCAGATTTCAGAAACAGTGCCCAGGCAGCCAGGGAATTGTTAGTAATGATGAGTAAACTCCCACAGTTTGTACTGGAGACAAAAAAGCTTTTGTGTGTGTACTGAAACTCTTGTGTTCAGCTTTTCTTTATAAGTAAGAGATATATGCCCATGTTCTTTAACCTAATGTGATTTACAGGTTCCATTCTGTACCAAATATTTAATTTATGGTCCTGTATGTCCAGTGTGAGGTAGCCAAGGAATAGAGGAGTATAGAGTTTAGTCTGTTCAATCCCACCTGGCTTCTAGGAGAGAAACGGCATGACCTCAACTTTCACACCAAAAATAAGTAATAAAGATAAATCCTGTGTATACTTGAAGAAATGTAAATAAGAGTTAATCAAGTTATTCCACAAAAGCCACAGAAGCTGCTGGTGTTTGCATGGCTCTACGTTTATTTTAAGAGCTTCAATCAAACATAGCCAGTATATCGGTCTCTTGAGAGCCTGCAGGAGAATAAATTATACAACGGAAAAAACCATTATATTGATGTAATAAGGTTCGCTGGCGTTTCCGGATACTGTTTCAAGGTGTTAACATGGTTTCTGAGCCTCCTTTTGCTGATTTTGACTTTTCGCCCCGTGTCAACACGATGCAAAGGCGCCCTTTCTAGATCTCTTTCAGCTTCGAGTATGAAAAGCCCGTCACTCCGTAAGAGGATCCTCATCCCTCTGGGGAGGAAAACTAAATTGTACAGACAGAAAACCAAACCCAACCTGACCTAATCGTCCAAGAAGTCTAGCTTAGCCACAAGAAAGGAAGCTCACCCTCCAAACCAGTTACAGGAACGCGTCCCGGCTTCGGACTCCGCGTCAGGTGTTTTCCAGCCGCAAGATAACAGGCAAGTTCAAGGTTGGACACGGTAGGGCGAGTCCTTGGTCCGCGCATCACGGGCCCAGAGCAGGCCTGGCAGGGGGGGGGGGGGGGGGCGGGGGGGGGCGTCTACAGGTCGGAGTCGCAGGGCAGCGAGGCGTGGCAGGCCCCGGTGCTGCCCAAGGAGTCGCCGGCGGAGCGGGCGTCCTCCCCGCGGAGCACGTCTAGCTGGTTGCTGAAGGCGCGGGGCTGCGGCCGCGGCATGGGGAAGCCGGCCTCGGGCTTGCGGGCGGCGCCGAGCTCGGCGGGCCGCGGCCGGTGCTGGCCGTCGCTGTAGTACTTGATGGCGGGCGGGAGCGTGCGCTCGGGCCAGTCGACGTGCACCGTGCTGATGCTGCTGCGGCGCGGGCTGCCGGGGGGCTCCTTGCGGCGGCGGCGGCGGCAGCGCCCCTCGCACCAGGGCGCCAAGCTGAGCGCCAGCGAGCAGCCGCCCAGCAGCAGCAAGCAGCTGCCCAGGTAGCCCAGCACCAGGCTGTAGCTGACGTGCACCGTGACCGGGCTGGCGTCGGCGGGCAGGACGGCGCGGTCGGCCAAGAAGCGGTTGTACCAGGAGACGGGCACGAGGCTGAGGAGGCCGGCGGCGAAGAGCACGAGGCCCGAGAGGCCGGCCAGCGGGAAGCGCGGCTTCTCCCGCCAGCAGCGCACGCCGAGCGACGCCAGCAGCAGCCCCAGGGCCGTGGTGGCCAGCGCCGTGACCATGAGTGCCCGCGCCACGCGCACGGGCTCGGCCTCGAAGTAGCCCCACACGTCCGGCTGGTGGCACTGGCGCTCGCGGCTGCTCTGCTCGCGGCACATGTCCCACAGGCCCTGGTACAGCTCCACGTCCGCCGGCTGGTTGAGGAAGCCCTTCACCAGCCGCCAGCCGGGCGCCAGCGTGGCCGTCAGGTTGAGCAGCAGCCCGCAGGGCGCGAGCACCAGGCCCAGCGTCATCACCACGGGCGTCCGCATCCCGGGGTCCGCGCCCCCGCCGCCTTCGCCCAAGCCGGCGCGGGACCGTCCCACTCCGCCGCGCGTCCCCTGCCGCTCCGGCCTCCCGCCCGGCCCGCCGTGCCCAGTCGAAACCGGCTCGCGGCCCGGCCCGCCCGGCTGGGAAGGGCGGGGGCGGGGGCGGGGGCGGGGGGATGCGAGCGGAGGCGGCGGGGAAGCTGGCGCGCGCGGCGGGCTCCGGGCGGCGTCCACAGCGCGCCGCGCCGCCGGGGCTCCCCGGGACCGAGCAAAGGTCGCCCCGCCCCGCCGCTCGCGCGCTCCGCGGCCCCGGCCGGCCCTGGGCGGGGCCCGGGGGGCGGGGCGGAGGGGGGAGGGAGGAGGCGGCGCCGCCCGGACGGCCGCACCTGGCTCGGGGGCCGCGCAAGTGCCCGGCTTCGCGGCGGATCCGAGTTTCCGCCGGAGTTTCTTCCGTCCCCGCCCGTCGGCCCGGCGCAGGCAGCCTCTCCCCGCTCCACTGCCAGCGGGTCCGACGTCCGCTCCGAGTTTTGCGCGGTTGACTTTGGGCCCCTCGCGGCCGACTGGGCGGCGCCGGCGCTGCTCGCTGCGCCGCGGGGGATGCGCGGGGCAGGTGTGCGCCCGGGGTCCCCGTCGAGTAGCGCGTCCCGGGAAGCTGCGCGCAGGTTGCTTCAGAAACCCGGTTCAGCGGGCTTAGTGAAAGCTCCGTACTCCACTGCCAGTCCGACTCGAAAGAATCCAAGGGAGTGTTTTTCCGGGATGAGGCGTTCCAGAGGATTTATTATTAATTATTATTATCATTATCATCATCATCATCATTAGCCCCATGGAAAATTTTGAAGAGGCCCAAAGAGGGAAGGGTGTTACGGGATGTCCTGTGTGGCACACTTTTCAGTTGTATCTGACCATATAGGGTCCCCGTGCCTGGTCATCGCCTTCGAGCTACTTTACACCTCTGTAAATTGTAGAAAGCCTATAGTACGGCCAGTGACTTTTGTTCACAGAAATGCAGATGACGGGCGCCTGGGTGGCTCAGTGGGTTGGGCCTCTGGCTCTTGATTCCGGAACCCTGGGGTGGTGATCTCCAGGTGTGGGATCAAGCCCAGCCTGGGGCTCTGCACTCAGCGGCGTGTCTGCTGGGGACTTACTCTCGCCCTCTCCCTCTGCCCCTACCCCTTACATCCTCCCCTCTTTCTCTCTAAAATAAATAAATAAATCTTAAAAAAAAAAAAAAAGGAAACGCAAATGAACTTGAGTCATTAGAACCTAAATGATGATTGCCCAATGGATACTGACCAATTTGACATTGATTTGTAAATCTTTTAGCTGTTTACCTGTAAATGTGTTCTTTGCATTCTTCTTTGAACTGGTTGTAACATCATACCTCTTCCCTTATTAATAATGAGTTAAATACGATCTTTGACACATGTTCATTTTATATTTGTGTGAGAGTCATGATCTTAACATTTTTTTAAAAATTATTCTTCATATTTTTCTCATTTTCCCGTATTTCTTACAATGGAAGTGTATTACCTTTATAATTGGTTAAACTGAAAACTGTTTCTAAAAATCAAAGTTGTGGGCGCCTGGGTGGCTCAGTTGGTTGGGCGACTGCCTTCGGCTCAGGTCATGATCCTGGAGTCCTGGGATCGAGTCCTGCATCGGGCTCCCTGCTCAGCAGGGAGTCTACTTCTCCCTCTGACCCTCCCCCCTCTCATGTGCTCTCTCTCTCATTCTCTCTCAAATAAATAAATAAAATCTTTAAAAAAAATAAAATAAAAAAATAAAAATCAAAGTTGTGTTGCTTTGAAATAAAACATTCTAGAATGGATAATAACCAGGCATAGGAATCACTACCCTTGTCTTTAAAAACATTTTTTAAAAAAATTGTGGTCAAATAACATGGCATGGAATTTTCTGTCTTAACCGCATTTAAGTATACAGCCCATTGGCATTAAGCACATTCATACTGTTGTGGTACCATCACCATCTCTCGAACTTTTATATCTTCCCAAACTGAAACTCTACCCATTGACCAATAACTCCCCGTTCCAACCACCACTCCTCATGCTTCCAGACCCTGGCAACTACCATCCCACTTTCTGTCTCTGTGAATTTGGGTCCGTGAGATACTTCATATAAGTGAAATCATACAGTACTTATGAGGCTTATTTCACTGAGAAAATGTCCTCAAGTTTCATCCATGTTGTAGCATGTGTCAGAATGTCCTTGCTTTGTTTATCCATTCATCCTTTGATGAACACTTTGCTCCCACCTTCTGAGTGGCTGCATGGGTGATTAGGTGACATTTCAGAGCCTTGAGCCAAAATGTCACACTCCAGAAGCCGAAACTACAGGCTTCAGCCATCTTTGTCTCCGATCAGTACCAGGGACTTCGATAATGAACACAATACCTGTTACTAATGCTCTTTCACTGGCGAAGTCATTCCTGTCTGAGATTTGTGGATTGGCTAGAAATACCAGCAAGGCATTCTTGGCCCTCCAGGAACAGGGTGTTAGAATCTAGACACCCAATACCTACAAGAATACTGCCCCAGCCTTGATTTATAAGTTACCCTGTGTTTAGACGCTGCTTCAGAGAAGTCTATCTCTCTTGACCCCAGCCCGAGGGTTAGCTAATCCTGCTGCTAGAATATTGCTTCCAGTGAATTTTCCTGAGAGATGCTCTTGAAGAACCTCAATGGACAGAGAGAACTGAGACTTTGCCAAATTTACAGAACAGATCCAAAGACTGTTTTTGCACCTGCTTGCTAATATGTTGTTGATGAATGTGTTCTGAAATTCGATCTAAGACACTCTCTGAGACTGAGTATTGGAAGTTACTGACCTGTATATATTTTTAATGAGGTATAAATGGCATACAATGTGGTGCACACATTAAATTTTCTAAGTTTTGATATATACATAACACCTGCGAACCGATCACCATAATCAAGACGGTAAGCACATCCATTACCTATAGAAGTTTCTTTCTGCCCTTGGTAATCCTCCCTCTCCTCTCTCCCTGCCTATCCCCAGGGTCCCCAGGCAACCATTGATCTGCTTTCTGTCAGTATACATTGGTTTGCACTTTCTAGAATTTTGTATGAGCGCACTCAGACAATGTAGATGGCATACAAGAGACCATCGGCATGTCTCCTCGGGTCCGGCAGCCCCCTAATTTGTCTGAACTCAAGATCAGCTGGGGCTACCACTTAGGGAAAATACAGATTCTCACCCAGTGGGATTCCCCAGGGCAGTGTGATGGAATTTGAGGGTTTGCAGGCCCCCAGGGGATTCTTAGGTTTAGGGAAGTATGGGACACAAAGCCAGTGTAGCCAAAAACAATAGAAATCCCCTTCAGTTCTGAGGGGACGCTTTTGCCTTTGAATGCATTTCACAGCTTATCTCTAATTTACTGTTGTTTAGAACAGCAGAGAGACTTCGTAAAGACTTTACGGGACGGGATCTGAATCTTTTTCCCATGTCGAGTCCTGCGTGGAATGAATGAAGCCCAGGCAGTGTGACCTGGGAGGAGGACGGGAATCTGCTCTGTTCTGCCTCCTAAATCTGTCTCCTGCCCTTGCACATCTCCTTCTTCCCTTTTGCCTCTACCTCAACCCATGACATTCTACCATCTTCCCCTTAAACAGGCTTCTAACTGGTTTCCTACACTCACGCTTTCTCTCTCTCCCTTTCTCTTAGCCACCCAGGCCCTCAGAACTGCCATTGTAAAACTGAAACTGAATCTTGTGCCTACATTAACCACCGCCTTCAAAAAAAATTTTTTTGAGAGAGAGAGCACCTGCGGGGGCGGGGGGCAGCGGGGCGAGGCAGAGGGAGAGAGAGGATCTTAAGCAGGCTCCACACCCAGTGTGGATCCCGACTTGGGACTGGATCTCAAGACCCTGAGATCATTACCTGAGCTGAAATCAAGAGGCTGATGCTTAACCGAGCCACCCAGGCGCTCTTACATTAACCCCTTTTAAGGCCATCTACATCCCAGCCTGAACTACCCACTCCTGCCCACCTCCCCCGCCCACCTCTTTTTTCCACACCATTACCCCCAAAACCTGGATTTTTTTCTCATTTTTTTTTCAAAGCGTTGTGCTCCCTTTCGTCCTCAGATCTTTGCATATGCTGTTTGCTGTTTCTTTTCCTGGAGTCCTGCCTGCCCTTTCCGGACCCCAAGGCACCCTTCAGATCTTTGCTTTAAATACTATTTTCTCTGGGAGGGCTTCTCAATCTCCTGGATTGAGTTAACTTTTCCTGTTGTGTCCTGCCATCCACTCTCTTCTACTATAGCACCTGCCACAATTTCTCGTTACTTGAACTACCTGGTTGTCTGGCTAGGTTGTAAATTCTTTGAGGGCAGGGGTAATGTTTGTCTTGTTCTGCTCTGCCCTGAAATCCATCTTAGGGCCTGGCCACAGTAGCCACTCAACAGCCCAACTGTATCTCCTCCTGCCCTGCATTCTTCCCCACAGTATCCGCAGACTTCTCTTACAGATGACTGCCTGGCCAAAACAGGTTGTTACTGCATCTCAGTAAACACATTTGCTTGTTTGTTGTATGAGCGCTTAGTGGTCATCAGCATAGAAAACAATGAAAAATAGGCTAGCTCCATATATTTCTGACAAAGAAGGGTAGCCCTGTGGGGGTAACTTTCTACGGTAGTAAGAGAAAGAAAAGTTTGCACTTAAGTGCGGCACCTGATTGTAGACCTGCATCACTCTCTCTCTTTGTTCCATGGGCTTCCAAGTTCATTGTAAGGCTGAGTGAGAAACAAAGCACGAATCATAGTGCGGCAGGAATGAATTATTGCTAAGATTAGTACCTGTCAGTGTAAGCTGATCCCCAGGCCCTATAATAGCTTTCTTTTCTGAAGGCGGGTCCTACTGTAAGACAAGAATCTATTTACAATGCCCTAGGTTTGCAGATGAAGAGTGAGCTCCCAGGTACTAATTCTAAAGGGACTAAGGCTAGGTCCCCTGTTAGCCTTCACAGGCTGGGTCACAGATAACACCTAGCACACAATTCCAGTCTTCTGCACTGACTTTATCTTGGAAGTCACACGACAAACTTCGGCAGGCCCCTAGGGGCCCACCTCATCAGTGTGTTCTTGTGAGGTGTCCTCAGAGTTGCTCTGCAAGGTCCTTACATTGGCCCTAAACACTGTCGTTAGTCTTTCAATGGCACATTCAGTAGGTTATAGAATAAAAAATACATTATAAAAAATTAAACCATAATCATTATTTTGTTTTTCATTCTCTCTCTTTTTTTTTTTTTAAAGATTTTATTTATTTATT